TGCTGGACTTAGATAAAAATCAATTTTTATTCGTTCAATGTTTCTTAGTACTTGTGGCTCTAGAAGACTTGTTTTTTATACTCACATGTTGCTGGGTTATTCCTATTTTGAGGAGTGTAGAATTAAAATACCTGTAATAATTTTCCAATATCTATATTTAATTTTTTGAGAGCCGGGTTTTTTGTCAACTATAGACGTCGTTGGCGCTCAGGGCCCGCAGGTGTTGGTCAAGTATAGGCGACTTTGACGCTCAAAAGGTTAAAGGATTCATGGTAAATCAGCTGGAAACTAACTTGTTTCGTTATCATAACATGATTCTATTTTAAATGTATTGTTATAAACAGATAAGAATAACTTAACAGATCTTCTTTGAAAACAGATAAGAATAACAGTTCTTATCTGTTTTCAAAGAAGATCGGTTAAGATTAACAGTAAAATTGTGCCGTAGCGTTTTGTTACTCTCTAAAGAATTCATTGGAAATCAACTAGTAATTCGCTTGTTTAATTATCATAACATAATAATTATTTAAAAATTATATTAGTACTGTAATGATGACACCGTAAATAATCGATCGAAAAAGAGAATCGATTTTTTAAATGTGTTTTGTGATTGGCAACACTTTTTTTTTATTCACAAACTAATGACATAATGATTTACCTAATTTTTATTAGTATCTTTTCGGTACTTTTAATTTGTGCAAAAATATTCCCATTGTTTGAGGATAAATGAATACCGCGATTAATAACTATAAATAAAGATATAATTTTTTAACAAATGCACATTGTTGGGCGTTCCATGGCCGAAAATGGGCGTCCCCCTTTAAACAGAAAAGACCATTTTTCAGTCAAGTTATGGATGATTTTTTTTTATTTATGTATTTACTTCTCGGTTTAGGTAAGTAGCGATTTTTCGAGTTCCGTATGTTTTATCTATCAAATTTGAGTTTAGATGGCAGTTTCTACACGACACGGACCTTATAAGCCCAAAAGGAGCGGAGAAATCGAAGATTTTAAAAAGTTATAATTTCCATGAAAACACGATTATAAGAAAACGAATGATATGAAAATTTGTTATTTATCGGTGAAAATTTACTACGAAAACTATAATAAAATACGGGGGGCAATTAATTACACTACATAACAAGGAAAAAACAGAAAAGACCAATTTTCACGAATAAAATATCTAACCTAACCTAACCTTTTTTTTTACGGGGGGAAATCCTCATGGACTGCCTCTGCCTGGGGAAAGGCGGAGGGGTGTGCCGGACTCTTACCGGCTAAAACCACCCCGGTGTCGCACGTGCACGCGAGGGGCCGCGGGAATCCAAATTCTTCCGCAACCCCACACTAGTGCTGGCCCGGTCTTTACGGGCCTCATCTCCTACACGGGGTAGTGAGGTATTCAACTACCCCGTGTATTACCCCAGAGGCGCGCGCCGACACGCGCGCGGTCGCCTCGGGTCCATCGAATAGGGGGGCGAGGGCTTCCCCAAGTCCCTCGCCCCTGGACTAATTCTTGGGGGCCGGAAAAGGGTGTTGTCCGTCCTTCTCCTGCGCCCGGTGCGCCTTCTGCGGCCAGAGAAGGGAGTCGATATCTCCCTCTCCCGTTCCGCAGTTTCCTTCTGCGACATCACGTCCTCACAGAAGGACACCACTGCGTCCCACGAATATGCGCTAACAACCACTTTCCGAACCAGTGGTAATAAAAAAAAAAAAAAAAATCCTACCAAAAAAAAAAACCAAAAAAAAAAAGGGAAACCCACACAAAACAGACACACAGGCTTATATTTTGCAAAATGAAAAACAAAAAACAAAAAAAACCCGACATCGACAGATCGCCATTTGTGAGGACACGGCGCTGCTCCTCCCAAGCTACACACTCAGCGAGCGTGTGTTGCGCCGTGTCCTCCCCGCAATGGACGCAGTGGTGGCACCGAGCGTCCGGCTCCCTGTCTATGCGGCACAGGTACTTGCAGAGGCAGCCGTGCCCCGACAGCACCTGCGTCACCCTAAACGACAGGGAGTCGTGCCTTCTCCCGAGCCAGTCATCGAGTACTGGCCGGATCGCCTCGACAATAGCGAGGCCGGCAGTATGGCGCAGAAGCCTTTGCCGCCATTCCGCCACCAAGTCCTGACGGAGCTCCTCTCGGCGCAGCGTGATCTGTCGCTGCACCGGCCTCGAGCCCCGTCCCCGCTCTTTCTTGCACCATCGATATAATGGCGCGAGTACTTTCGCCTCTAGGTGCCAGGGCGGGGATCCGCCAGGACGCAAGCCGCCTCGTAGGAAATCGTGCGATACCCGCGGACGACACTGACGGCCATCGCCCTCTACGGTTTGCGCAGAATGGCGAGAGTGCTGGCCATCATGTCCATCGCCCACACAGGGCCGTGGACCGCACGATTCCCACGTGAAACCGCCTGCAGGCGGCGCTCGGACCCCCCAAGTTGGGACCAACGTTGAAAGCGCGCCCGCTGCACCCATCAGCAACCCCACCTAACCTAACCAACTATAAATTTGTAAATAACTCTCCTGAAAATTGGTATTTTTCGTTCAAATTTTCTCTAAATATTATTGTTAATTGCCCTCCATATTTCCTTCTAGTTTTCTTAGTAAAGTTTAGCCGTTATATAATTAATTTTTATATTTTCAATCCCTTATTATAGTAAATTCATAGAATGAAACATAAATTCACCTATAACTTGGCCGAAAATTGGCTTTTTCCGATTAAATTTTGTTTTTAAATATTGTAATTAACTGCCCTCCGTATTCACATATAGTTTTATTTGTAATAAATTTTCACAGTTAAATAGTAGATATGAAAATCTAAGTTTTTTATTTTCATTTACTCTTAAATTCATAAACTTTTTTAAATTTTCATTTCCTTCGTTCTTTTTGCTCCTGTTAGGTCCTTCTTGTGTAGAAACTACCATCTGCACTCTAATTTGCTTTATAAAATACACAGAATGAGAAAAAATATCTAACCTAACCTAACCTTCTACGTGGTAGAGTCATGCTGCAGTTATATTAGTAGTATAGTTGTAGCACGAATGGGTCGGCTCGACCGGGGAAGGACCACGCTCTCACAGAATACCAGCGTGAAATAGTAGCTTAATGCTGCTGTATTTCGTATGGTGAGTGTAGAGAACCGGAGACCCTTTTTACTGAAAATGAGGCATTCCATCTCAGTCCTCATGGGTGACAACGCATCTGCATTTTGATTTGTAATGGAAGATAGATGTAGATGTCTATGGGCCGCAGCAACCACTTACCATCAGGTGGACTGTGTGCTCGTTTGTCAGCCTATTCTAAAAAAAAAAAAAAACCTAAACAACTATAAATTTGTAAATAACTCTCCTGAAAATTGGTTCCTCGATCGTTTTCCTGTTCTCTAACCTCCATGGTTTTATTGAACAATTATGTGTAGGTGTGCGTCTCCTAAGCTTTTTAAAAAATGCATCTCCTTCACTATCAAACTTTGTGCGAAGGTCCTATTTGAAAAATGATTTAATTCAGTTTAAGAACATATTTCTTATGTAATGTATAATTTGTAACTGTGTTATATTATAATTATATTTTTATTATTTTAATAATTACTTTGACTTTTTGTTAATTCTCTTTGAGAAAAAATAATTGTAATGTCAGAGGAATGAAAAAACACACAGGAATCCTTTATATGCGTTTATTAAAAAAATAGTATTACATTTTAACTTTTTAGAATACCATGTCCAAACAAAAAACAAGAAATGTATAAATTACCGTCATTTTGAACTAATTGTGATAATGTTATAAACACGAAAACAATTTAATATCAAATGCTACTTTATCAGATCACAGTGAATGCCTATTGTAGCTATGCTTATGGCATACATGTTATTTATTAACATAACAAAACATTCCCCCAAGTTCAACAGATGATATCAATGAAGACAGAAAACAGTATTATGTCATATTGTTTTAGTGAAATTTTCAAAGTAGGTCAAATAAATAAGACGTGACTAAAACTATTATACATAAATGTATATGTATGGTTTATATATACAGGAAATATACTCGTTATCGTATTTTTTTACCAGTCACATAAATCACATGTCCACCAATAATGTTAACATAATGCCGTCCTCCCATAGAATTAAACCTAACATCTAATATCTAACGACGCTTATGCTACTCATAATCAGTAATTACCAAGCGTTTGCATCTCTTGACCTGCCGTATTTCGAAACACTTGCAATTTGCAATTATTTATTTATTTAGTTGATTGATTGATCGATAATAATTAACCACATAGCGCATTCGCTAAATGTTTACAAAAAGTTAAATAAATAAGCTCAAAACAGCTCTCTTTATGTATTAACGTTTCAATTGAACAATTGGTAGGTAAATTAATGCATTTTAATCACAGGGCAACAAGTCAGTAATAAAATAAATTACCACATCAACCATACAATGGAACTACCTACTTATCACTATTTAAATATAAAGCGTGACGTCGCACTTCTCTACGCCTCTGCCTATGTCATGTGCTGTAGTAAATACTTCGTGAATTTCTAGGAAATTGTACTTAATGATGAAAAACATAACGTTAATAAGCGTAGAATTTAGATAGACATTATGGTTTGTGAATAAGTGTAAGTGTAAGTGGTGTAATATTTGTGTCAGTAGTACAATATAATTATAAGTGGTATAATATTTATATCAGAGGCCCGACGTAGAGTCGAGTGAAGTCGCGGATTGGAATGTACCGTATCACAAGCTGGAGCCGGGCTCCACTACAATAATTTATTGTATAAATATAAATCGAACTACAGTCCCCACAGTATTAAATAGAGAGTCCGTTACACTTGTAAATTAGTAGTCAGTTCAGGAATACGGCCAGCTCGCGCGGGCCGCGCGGGTAGCTTCACGTGCGGTCGTGCACGTGCACGTGGCAGTGAGGGCTCGCGGCCGGCCGCCCGGGCCTTTAGCGGCGGCGACGGCTGCGACGGCGCCGAGCCCCGCGCTAGTGGCGCGCCTGCTGCGGCTGCTGCTGCTGCGGCTCCTGCTGCTGCAGCTCCGACAGGTGGGCGGCGATGGCGCGCGCCGAAGCGCCCGTCAGGATGGTGCGGTGGTCGCCGGGCAGTTGGCGCGTGGCGAGCGGGCCGGCACAGCGCTCGGCCAGCCCGTAGTCGGCGGGCAGCGCCACGTAGTTATCGCGCGCGGTGAACAACGTGACGGGCGCGGCCAGGCGACGCGCGGGCCGGTAGGCGTCGCCGGCCACCAGCTTGCGGTAGAACGAGCCGGCGGCTGCGGCCAGCGCCTGCGCCGCGTGCGGCGTGGCGCCGCCCAGCCGCGCCGTCACGCGCCGCACGCGCTCTTCCCCGCCGCCCCGCGCCTCCAGCTCCGCCGCCACCTGCACCGCGTCCGCATTAGCACACGCACACACGCATACGCGCACACACACACGTTACATTGTTTACTGCGACGCTTGCCCAAAACATATCGATATTTGCTCATAAAATTATCGATATGTACATCGTCGATATTTTGAATCGTGATATGTCAATAATCTATACTAATTTTATGGCGTGCCGATAATGTAAATACATCGGCACGAACAACTCGGCAAGGTATTAATGGAAGACACAGACATGCGTCTCCCTGTCACGACTTTACGTCTAGTTGATATTTATAGACTCACTAATATTTATTTGGGGGTATGCAGCGGCCCCCCGCTAAATAAAATGACGACCTGACAAGACATGGGGGAAATTGATGGATTCAGATGACTCAGAACCGTACTTTGTGGCATCCCTTGAGGGAGGCATATGTTCAGCAGTAAACTTGTGAAGGGCTGCAATGATAAAGATGATAATGATTTATTTATTTTCATTAACATTTATTTAAAACCAATTTTATTTTCTTGGACCCCATATCACAGGCTCCTTAATAAAGTTCTATAAAAATAGTATATTCGCTACCCAATCCATCACAGTAGTTAGGTATTTTTATTATTATTATTTTACTAAATTATTTTATAAAGAAAAGTAACACCTGCATCAAAGCTCACGGGTCAAGCGAATAATGAAGAGTATATAAACACCAAACAACCGCCATCGAGTAGAGAACAGGCGAGTACTCGAGCCGAGTATCGAGAACATCCGAACAAGGCGCGTTTGCATGTTCGTACTAGTGCCCACTCATCTGTGCAACGTTGCATTAGAATATCGTATTCGTATCAATTTTGATATATTATAACGTAAATCTGCTTTTGTAATAAATATAACAAAAAAAAATTAACAAATCTTCATATAAGAAAATATCTTACGAATTTTAAATGTTTTGGAAATATGTATAAATACGTAAATGCTTGACAAAAATAACGATATATCAATATTTTTTACTCAATTATCGATACTATTTAAAAATCAATATTTTTGGGCAAGAGAAAAACACATCGATATATGTTCTTCATCTCTCTAACACATTTTAAACGCTCATTAACTACATAAACTTCACTCACCAATAAAGGTAATTGGGTATTTGTTGTTAATTGGTAAAGGCATTGTAATAAAAGCCTATATTTCTAAGAATACAAACAGGAGGGGCGAAAAGTGGATTGCGGAAACCCGTCTGGCTACGCTGAATGTATGTGGAGGAATGAATGATAAGATGGATGAAGTATGCGAAATGATGAATGACAGAGGAATAGATGTGTTATGTGTGAATGAGACGAAACGAAAGGGAAAGGATGCCACTGCACATGGCACGTATATCGCGTATTGGTCTGGCGTGGCACGAGACCGAACGGGCGTGCCAGAGAGTCGGTTTCATCCTTTCAGAAAGAATGGGTCAATGTGTGAAAGAGTATGAATGTGTAAGCCCGAGGCTGCTATGGATACGAATTAAAGTGGGCTTAAAGAAGCTGTTCCTGCTAGGGGTGTACGCCCCAGACATGTCTAAGCCCACTTACATCCGAGAGCAGTTTTGGGACATGTAAGGATGGTGTTGACAAAATGTAAGGAAAATGAAAATACTTATTATGTTAGGAGACTTTAATGGAAGGGTTGGGGTGAAGAGGTCTGGTTATGAAAGGATATTGGGAATGTTTGGTGATGAACGTATAAATGAGAATGGTAAAGACCTCCTCACCGTATGTGTGGAAAAGAATCTTTTTGTGACGAATATTTTTTTCGTCATAAGAAGATTCACATGTATACATGAGAAAGAGGTGATGATAGAAGCATGATAGATTTCGTAATTGTGGATGAAAGAATGAGGAGCGCAGTCGTAGATACAAGGGTTTACCGGGGGTCCAACGTAGGGACGAATCATTACTTGGTCTTATGTCGAATTAATGGTCTTTTCAAGCGTTGGAGGCATCGGACATCTGTGTCTACCACTGCGTTACAGCGTATAAGAATAGAGAAGTTACAAGATGAAGATGTGAAAGAGAAGTATAAATGTAGACTGAGAGGAAATATTAGATGTTTGAATGAGTTGTGTATGAATGATTTAGACTTGAATACTGTGTGGGACAATATTAAGAAAGGTTTGGTGGATGCCGCCACTGAAGTATGTGGTGTAAGTAAGAGAACAAATGAAAGGAAAAGTAATACGTTGTGGTGGGATGATGAGGTACGGGTGGAAGTTTAATCAAAGAAGAAAGCATGGTTAGATTTACTAGCAACCAAAGCTGGTAATTCTTCTGGTATGAATGATGAGATTGAAAGAAAAAAGGCAGAATTTAGACGTCTAAATAAGAGAGTAAAAGAAGTTGTTGAAAGGAAAAAGAAAGAAAAAACGGATAAGAATGATAGAAGGATTTCTGATAATTTCCAGGCTAACATAAAAATGTTCTGAAAACTCGTAAGAACTGCCAGGGGAAATACAAAACAGCCTACAATGAATGCTATAAGAGACGAGAATGGATGTATTCTGAATGATGAAGCTTCGAATTCAAACAGATGGAAGGAATACTTTGAAAGCGTGTTTATGAGTGAAAAGTCGTCTGAATTAAATGAACTAGAAATTCCGAAAGAAGTGGAAAGGGGTATGGAGATAAGTGTAGATGAAATAATGAAAGCAATGAAAAGCATGAAAGCAAGTAAGGCAGCTGGATATGATAGAGTATCACTCGAGATGCTAAGGGCTGGAGAGGGAGTGGTGGCAGGCCTGCTGTACACCTTGTTTAATTTATGTTGGGAATTAAAACGGGTACCGGATGACTGGTGTAAAGCAGTTATAGTACCAATATATAAAGGAAAAGGGTCACAGCAGGACTGCAAAAACTACCGCGGTATCAGCTTGCTTAGTATTGTGGGTAAACTGTATGCTCAGGTGTTAATTGAAAGAGTTATGAAAGAAACTGATGGAAAAATTTGGGATGTGCAAGCGGGTTTTAGAAAGGAAATGGGGTGTACAGATCAAGTCTTTTCCATGCGCATGATTGCGGAGAAGTTTTTGGCCAAAAACCAGAAAGTTTTTTGTGCGTTCATGGACTTGGAAAAGGCTTATGACAGAGTGGACAGGAATGTGTTATGGCAAACACTGAACTCAAATGGGTTAAGCGCTGGTTTGATACAGGAATTAAGGTCTCTTTATAGGGACTCTAGTGCTTGTGTCAGGATCAATGGGGTCTACTCGAACTGGTTTGGCATCCATAAAGGTGTCAGACAGGGCTGTGTAGCTTCCCCTTGCTGTTCAACCTATTTATGGACAGGTGTTTGCAAACTTTGAAAGATGAAGAATGTGGGTTAAAAATGGGCGAGTTAACCGTCAAATGCCTTTTGTATGCCGATGATCAAGTCATATTTGCGTCATCGGCGGCTGAGTTGCAAATGATGGTTACATTAATGAACTGGGAATTAAAAGAAAGGGGAATGAAAGTGAACGCAAGTAAGACGAAAGTGATGGTTTTTGAAAGAGAAGAAAGCAAAAACGGTATGTGAAAAAGAATAGAAGGAGAGTTAATTGAGCAAGTGGATGAGTTTGTGTATTTGGGATGTGTATTTAGCAGGGATGGTAGATATGATAGGGATATAGAACGACGAGTAAATGCAGGGAATAGAATGAATGGGGCACTACACTCTATTATGAAGAACCAGAATGTGTCAAAACAGGCACATATGGTAATTCATAATGCTGTGTTAGTATCTACTTTAATGTATGGTAGTGAAAGCTGGGTGTGGCAGAAGAAGCACGAAAGTAGAATAAATGCTGTAGAAATGCGGTCTTTAAGGAATATGCTAGGGTTGGATCTGAATTACAGGGTGAGAAATTGCGTGATAAGAGATAAATGTGGTATGCAAGATGATGTTGTGACCAGGATTAAGGAAGGAATGCTTCGGTGGTTTGGTCACGTAGAAAGAATGAATGAGGGAAGAGTGACAAAGCAAATTTATATGGCAGATGTGAACGGCCGAGTCAGGAAGGGACGCCCTAGGAAAAAGTTTATCGACCAAATTGGCGATATTTTGAAAAGGGGCCACGTTAGAAGTACCCTTAACCGACGAACATGTATGCGTAGATATATGGATGTAAAAGAGGCGTGTCAGGATCGTGCCAAATGGAAGTCGGTAGTCTCCGCCTACCCCTCTGGGTGACAGGCGTGAGTGTTTATGTATATGTATGTATGTAATACAAACACACATGAAAATAAAATCTAGATTTTAAACTTAAAATAAGAAACTTGTGGCCGTGGTAGGAAAAGGGGAGATCTCCCGCCGGGCAAGGTGTTCTGCCCGGGGAGCGGCCAACACTCCGTGTGATAGTTCGGAGATGTGCTATATATACTGTTTATTATTCGGAATTCCGATAGCGTGATTTAGGCTTCGGTGTGTTTCGCTTGCGGCGCGACGACAGCGCCGCTACAACTACTTCTGTAGTTCGCACCATATACTAACTAAATTTAAACCTTTATGGAAACCAACTATTGTATCGTGTTGTATTCAAATAGATTACTTACGATGTAAACTAATTAGTGTAGGTAGTAGGTAATAACGGCATGGAATATTGCGAACTTTGTGTACTCTTAATTATTGTACACAAGAAATTTATATTTTACAAATCTATTATTCAACTTTATATTGCTCTATTATGAACTGAGTCGTCGGGTCACAAATGTCAATAACAATATGAATGTACCACTGTATATGTAATATCGCCAAACTAGCAGTCCAGCTATTCGAAGAGAAAGTTTTAAAGAAGTAATTATAGTTACCAATATTGACAATTTTGATATAAGAGTGCTAAAACCATTGAAGTAATATGTACTTACGTACTAGAACAGCTATCTCAAACAAAAAATGTGCGCTACTCTGTGTTCGCGCGATTGGTTTTTTTATCATAGAATAAACATAGGTAGAATGATCCGTAGGTAATAGTAGATTGTATTGTTAAATAGGTAAATTATATCGAGAACAATGTTTAAATTTTGTCATTTATTTTGTATATTATATTTGTTTATTTAATATAATATTACATAATATTATATCACAATTACATTTTAATGATATTTTTATTTGAATATTTTATAAGGTATCGATTTCAAATATAAAAAACGTACTAAATGTATATTTAACAAAACTTATTAATATAAAATTTAAATTACAAATATATTTATTTAAATTAGAATCAGAAATGCTGTAAATAATTGTTCATAAATGCTAGGCACGCGAGAGTTAAAAATGGACGAATTTATTCCACTTTGACTTTGAAGTGGAAACCTAAAAATAAAATAAAAGAATAATAAGCAGATTTAAACATGAAAAATTTAGCCTAATTGTAATAACTTATATATGTTTCTACAAAAAAATGTGTATAATAAATATATTCGTCCTATACTTAAGATCCCACAGAAATGTCGCATCTGAACATATTAATTTCATAATCTATAATCCATGATACGAGATGGCGTCTTAGGAATAATTTGCTCTACTATTAATTTATAATACTTTTTTATTGATTAAGTATCTTATTAACCGATGAGAAGTAATTCCTTGGTTTTTACTGACATTTCTTGAATTATTTGTGCAATACCTAAGTACACAAGACGACATATTTTTTTCAAGAGATTTTTTTTAAATCAACACAACATGTGACAACTCTACAATCGCCTAGCGAGTGACTGAGTAAAGTGCAGTGCATGCACCGCAGTTGAGTGGAACAGAGTAGCTGAATGCAGTGTCTCCTCTAGTACGTAGTACATAATAGCTCAATGGCTAAAACGCAATATATGTACTAAGTATGATAACGGCGAGTATCCATGCGCGGCAAAAATTTGTGCTAAATATTCTGAATCATTTCAGAACACTTAGCACAAATTTTTGCTCGATTTAAAATGACTAAAAATATCCACCGTTCCGTATCGTTCTGCGGGTGTCGTAAGAATTGACAGGGGAAACAGAAACTGGAGGTGGGCGGCAGAATCTTCTTAATAACAATTTAAAAAAAAAACTGCTGTTGACAGCTCGTCTGCCTGCTTGCTGGGGCAACATCACCCTTTGAGGCCTTGTATGGGGGAGGTGGACGTTCAGCAGTGGAGGTTTATATGATCTAATGGATGGATGATATGCATATATGGTACCTTGGTGACGTCGACGTCCTTGAAGAGCTGCGCGAAGTAGGCGAGCGCGTCGGCCTCGTCGGTGGCCTGCGAGCGCGCCTGGCGCTTGGCCGTGCCGCGCGACGTGTGCGTGGCCACATAGTCCGGTGAGCCGTCCACCAGCACCAGCCGCACGCCCAGCCCCGCCTGCGCAGCGTCAGGACCACGCGGTCACAGAATAGCCTCGATTAACCGCTTAATGCTGCTGTGCTTATGCTCAGTATATTACACAACTGGACATTTTTTATATGGAAACGAGACATTCCAATTTAGTGTTCAGCGGTGACAACGCCTCTGTAGTTTTATTCCTGATCAAGGATAGATGTAGACGTCCATGGGTCATGGCATTCACTTACCATCGAGTGGACTGCGTGCTTCTGTGTCATTGTTATTTTGTAACTGTTTGCATGTCGTCAATAGTTTCGAGTTCTTTGTGGCGAGCACCTGTGTGAAGATATTGTGTAAGACATCTCTCACCCTGCTAGTAGACATCTATTCCATTGCCTCAGTGGGCGGATTTCAGAAGTCTGATTTATTTCCTTAAATTTCTTTTACCAAAGACGTGACTTGACTGTTTGACCTAATTACGTCATATTTATATCAGATATAGAATAAGGGACGGCATCAATGTATGGATACGATTTATGTTAAAATCACTAAACCAAAGTTTACTTCTTTTTCATTAATGAGAGCATCTACGACTTTTTCTGCTCGTACAACGGCGCCACTTAAGAGCGTAGTCCGTCCGCGCGGGAATTGAGAAGATTGGTGTATTTTTATAAAACTGCTAAAAACAACAAAACCACATCTTGGGCTTGCCTTAGTTTGGAGCCCTAGCTTTGTCACTGCGTCTACGCTCTTAAGAATAAGGTATAATATTTGCCAAATTTCATAGCGGGGAAGTTAAATTATTACAATAATGTAAAGGTTAATGTTTCTTTTTGTAATTTTGGTTTTATTTTATATTAATAAGATTAGAAATGAATAAACAAAATTACGGATATTCCTACAAATACAAAATTTTCAAAGAGTTAAAAATGTAAAAAAAAAATGAAGACCAAACCAGAGGGGAATTGTTGTGAGTATTAATATAATACTCTAGAAATTGATAAATTTTTAGTTTCAGAAGCAAATTTGCCAATTAAATGACATTGTGTAACAAAATATTTGAGCTCAGTCTCAAATAGCATTATTTGGGGTGAGTGGAAGACTATTAACCGACGTATGGTTCGTGAATGAAGCGAGTGCAGTGTGCCAGGGTACCTGCTCGAGCTGCAGCGCCATCTCGAAGGCGACGCTGGCGCCGAAGGAGTAGCCGAGCAGCGTGTAGGGCGGGCGCGGCTGGTGCGCGCGCACGTGCGCCACGTAGTGCTGCGCCAACGCGCGCATGTCCTGCAGCGGCGCGGCGGCCGTGCACTGCAAGCCGCGCACCGGCGCGCGCACGCCGCACGCCACGCCGCGCAGCCGCTCTACCACGCCCTCGATCGGGTGCACCTGCGCGCCATACACCGCACCACGTCAGAAGCGTCACGCAACGCGTCACACAACGCGTCACACGGCGTGACACACTGCTTTTACCACGAACAGTTCAACTCCAAGGAGTTAAGACCACACTCAAAAATTTCGAGCGTAAAATACCAACTTAATGCTCTTGTATTTCTATATATGTGGAAAACGTGAAAAGTAATTGTAGAAAACCGAAACTTTTTACTGGAAACAAAGCATACAATCATAACTTTCAGAAGTAACAACACATCTGCATTTTGATTCTTTATCCAAAATAAATCACCCACTCATCGATCAGGTAGACTATGTGCTCGTTTCCAACTCGTTTTAAAAAAATCTTTATTAAACCTCACAAACAGTATAAGAAACAAACTTAATGCTAAAAACATTCTCTGTTAGTCAACCTTAGCATAGTGATGAACACTAAAAAGACGATAACACATTTAAAGTTGGTTATTTTTTATTTATTTTTTATAAAATAAGGGTAACAAACGAGCACACAGTACGCATAATGGTAAGTGTATGTTTGGCCCATAGATTTACTAAGATGGAATACCTCTTTTCCAGTAAAAAAGGTTCTCCGAATCTCTACACTTCGCTAACCCAATTGACCACAATATAACTGCAACGTGGCTCTACTACGTAGACAAATTAAGGTTAATGTCCCATATGAGATAATCTATCACAGAGAACTATGTCTGTCTAAACATATATACTATAATGATCACGATCATGATGAAACCAACATTTAATAATCATAACCAAAATCAGAACAAATCCACTACATAAACATATATACTATAATGATCACGATCATGATGAAACCAGCATTTAATAATCATAACCAAAATCAGAACAAATCCACTACATAAACATATATACTATAATGATCACGATCATGATGAAACCAACATTTAATAATCATAACCAAAATCAGAACAAATCCACTACATAAACACATATACTATAATGATCACGATCATGATGAAACCAACATTTAATAATCATAACCAAAATCAGAACAAATCCACTACATAAACACATATACTATAATGATCACGATCATGATGAAACCAACATTTAATAATCATAACCAAAATCAGAACAAATCCACTACATAAACACATATACTATAATGATCACGATCATGATGAAACCAGCATTTAATAATCATAACCAAAATCAGAACAAATCCACTACATAAACATATATACTATAATGATCACGATCATGATGAAACCAACATTTAATAATCATAACCAAAATCAGAACAAATCCACTACATAAACACATATACTATAATGATCACGATCATGATGAAACCAACATTTAATAATCATAACCAAAATCAGAACAAATCCACTACATAAACAAATATACTATAATGATCACGATCATGATGAAACCAACATTTAATAATCATAACCAAAATCAGAACAAATCCACTACATAAACACATATACTATAATGATCACGATCATGATGAAACCAACATTTAATAATCATAACCAAAATCAGAACAAATCCACTACATAAACATATATACTATAATGATCACGATCATGATGAAACCAACATTTAATAATCATAACCAAAATCAGAACAAATCCACTACATAAACATATATACTATAATGATCACGATCATGATGAAACCAACATTTAATAATCATAACCAAAATCAGAACAAATCCACTACATAAACATATATACTATAATGATCACGATCATGATGAAACCAACATTTAATAATCATAACCAAAATCAGAACAAATCCACTACATAAACACATATACTATAATGATCACGATCACGATGAAACCAACATTTAATAATCATAACCAAAATCAGAACAAATCCACTACATAAACACATATACTATAATGATCACGATCATGATGAAACCAACATTTAATAATCATAACCAAAATCAGAACAAATCCACTACATAAACACATATACTATAATGATCACGATCATGATGAAACCAACATTTAATAATCATAACCAAAATCAGAACAAATCCACTACATAAACACATATACTATAATGATCACGATCATGATGAAACCAACATTTAATAATCATAACCAAAATCAGAACAAATCCACTACATAAACACATATACTATAATGATCACGATCATGATGAAACCAACATTTAATAATCATAACCAAAATCAGAACAAATCCACTACATAAACACATATACTATAATGATCACGATCACGATGAAACCAACATTTAATAATCATAACCAAAATCAGAACAAATCCACTACATAAACACATATACTATAATGATCACGATCATGATGAAACCAACATTTAATAATCATAACCAAAATCAGAACAAATCCACTACATAAACATATATACTATAATGATCACGATCATGATGAAACCAACATTTAATAATCATAACCAAAATCAGAACAAATCCACTACATAAACACATATACTATAATGATCACGATCATGATGAAACCAACATTTAATAATCATAACCAAAATCAGAACAAATCCACTACATAAACACATATACTATAATGATCACGATCACGATGAAACCAACATTTAATAATCATAACCAAAATCAGAACAAATCCACTACATAAACACATATACTATAATGATCACGATCATGATGAAACCAACATTTAATAATCATAACCAAAATCAGAACAAATCCACTACATAAACACATATACTATAATGATCACGATCATGATGAAACCAACATTTAATAATCATAACCAAAATCAGAACAAATCCACTACATAAACATATATACTATAATGATCACGATCATGATGAAACCAACTTTTAATAATCATAACCAAAATCAGAACAAATCCACTACATAAACATATATACTATAATGATCACGATCATGATGAAACCAACTTTTAATAATCATAACCAAAATCAGAACAAATCCACTACATAAACATATATACTATAATGATCACGATCACGATGAAACCAACATTTAATAATCATAACCAAAATCAGAACAAATCATATATCAATAAAACTAATAAGTGACATAAGATAAAGAAATAACAAATAACAATAATCACATGTTCTTTCATGAATATGCAAAAAGGATGTAACATTTTTTACAACGGATTAAAATTATTTTATTTTATTTTTCTACTTATTTTATTTCTTTACCTATCTTCTTTTTTATTCTTTCATCTAAGATTCAATCTTGAATGTTGGTAACTAACAAACAATCTATAGCAGATTTCTTTTCTGTTTCACTTGTAATTATTACATACAACTCAGCGATGGTTCATTTTTTATTCAAATGAAACAATAACAATAACTGAGGCAGCAGGGCTCCTCTCCTGCCTTGGAACCCACCCAGCAGCAACAAGCAGCAGCAAGCAGCAGTGCCCGCAGCCCTGTGCCCGAGCGTACAGATATACCTACGTACAGATATACCTACGTACAGGTCATCATATTTTAGACTGTGAGGCACATCATTAATTTTTATTCAAACAAACAATATAAGCGTACAGTAGTGGACCAAAACGCTTATATGTTTTACTAAACAAATTATTACATTTTATTAGATCACTTGTTTAAACTACTCAGATAGGTAACACATACTTTTCCGGGTAGCTTTGTAAAAATCTATTTATAAAATTTATGGCTTTAGCGGTAGCGCTATTACTGGCATGAGATAAGCTCTATGTTGGGGGTAACAGAAAAGCTGACGTTGCCGCCGTCCAACTCCACGCATGTAATGATCAGGCACAGGAAATGAACATATTCGCGTACCGGTGGCTTGTCCACCTTATTGGTAAGTAATGAATAATAATGGAATATTAGTGTATATTCTCGTCTGAGCTGTAGAGTATCAAGGCAACCATCCCTGACACGAACATGAAGGGAATAGAGAAGGGTAGTATCCATATTCACGTTTGTACTTCTCTTATCTGTAACGTTTGTTTAAAGTTAGTTTCATATGTCCACTTACTATGAAATGGAATGTAAGTTTGTCTATCATTTCAAGTCTTTATACAAAAAATAATATTAATATAAAATGTTAAGAATAATGCTAACCATGAAGACAGGATTAATGTTGGGATCATCGGGTGCAGCGCTGGGCATTGTCACTAGCACTTGCTTGGGCATGAGCTCGCTCAGGCCAGCGAACTGCACCTCGTCGCTGGCGGGCAGCGGTTGCGGCTGTTTCGTCTCGTTAGGCGGGGCGGGCGCGGGCGCGGAGCTGGGCGCGGCCGCCGGCGCGGACTCCGGCTCGCCGCCGGCTAGCGTGCGCAACTTCGCGAACGTCAGCGCTCGAATCTCCTGCACACCCAGCACCACGTCGTAACCGCGCTCCAGTGTCTGCTTGATCTCGGCGCCCATCAGCGAGTCCATACCCAGCTCGGCCAAATTGGCGGTTTCTGACACTTTACTCGGATCCTTGATACCTACATAATAAATATAGAACTGCATAGTAATCAAAGACACGCAAAGTGTTTTGTCTTTACAGAAATGAAAGGATGTTCCGCAGTAGACATTGGTATATGTCGAAGTAAAATTGAAGACTTAGATAACCAATTGATTTCATCCAGCAGCATGCAGCATGCAGCACGTGCAGCTTGGGCGTGGCGCCACCGCGGCGCTTGTCGGCCACCATGGACGTGGTCACGGCGTGAAAGCGCGCCAGCAGCATGCAGCATGCAGCATGTGGCAAGCAGCACGTGCAGCTGCCGAGCTGCGGGCGGGGAGCACTCACCCAGGATGTTGGCGACGGCACGCAGCAGGTCGTGCTTGAGCGCGGCGGTGGCGCGGCTGTTGTCGGCCAGCACCATGGACGCGATCACGGCATGAGAGCGCGTCAGCAGCATGCAGCATGCGGCGTGCGGCATGCGGCACGTGCAGCTGCGGGCGGGGAGCACTCACCAAGGATGTTGGCGACGGCGTGCAGCAGGTCGTGCTTGGGCGCGGCGGCTTGTCGGCCAGCACCATGGACGCGGTCACGGCATGAGAACGCGTCAGCAGCATGCAGCATGCAGCATGCGGCATGCGGCACGTGCATTGCCGAGTTGCGGGCGGTGAGCACTCACCCATGATGTTGACGACGGCGTGCAGCAGGTCTTGCTTGGGCGCGGCGGCTTGTCGGCTAGCACCATGGACGCGGTCACGGCATGAGAGCGCGTCAGCAGCATGCAGCATGCGGCATGCGGTACGTGCAGTTGCCGAGCTGCGGGCGGGGAGCACTCACCCAGGATGTTGGCGACGGCGTGCAGCAGGTCGTGCTTGGGCGCGGCGGCGGCGCGGCGCTTGTCGGCAAGCACCATGGACGCGGTCACGGCGTGAGGACGCGCCAGCAGCGAGCCCAGCGCCGCCATGCACGACGCCACGCGCTGCGGTACCGTGCCGCCCACCTCGGTCTCGTCGCCGCCCATCGTCTCCACGATCAGCCCCACTTCGCCTGCACAGGGACCACCACCATCGTTAGCCAAATATTGCACACTGGCGACCTTTAGTGTTCGCAATACACGCCCTTACCGATCGCTCCCCACTGCACGGCTAGGCCGGGCAAACCGTCAGCCTGGCGTTGCTCCACAATCCGCTCCATGGCAGAATTGGCCAATCCGTAATTGCTCTGTCCCGGGTTACCGCGTCCGCATGACACCGAAGAGAACACCACGAAGTATTCGAGTTCCGGACACAATTCGCGTGTGGCCAAATCCAAAGCCTTCGTGGCTGTGAAAATCAGAAAAATTGTGTTGTGAAAAACATCTACTATCATAAACGATTATAATTTCTTAGGTCTGGTTAAATTAAGTATGGTTTTTGATCATAGGTTTTGTTTTTTTTTTTATTTTAACTTTTCATACTTGATTCGTGCTAAATTGTGGTAAGTGGGTGACTATTATTGGCCCTATGTAAAACATACTATATAAGAATTTTTTCTCACAGAATGAAACCACCGGTTGTTATCACTAAGAAAATAAAATAAGACGAAGAAGTTGAAATTAATTCTGGCCATAACGGTAAAATCTGTGAATCTTACATTGCAAGTAGTTTTAAACTAATTTTCTATTTTAAAATTATACTTCTTTAATTATAGCTAAATTCAGCTTTGATATTGTTACGTTAGGGTTCATGACAATAAAAAGTGCTGATTGAATTACCAAAATTGACACTTTAATTACCGACACCAATTAAAACTCAAAACACACTAATAATTAATCACTTAACACTTTAATTCACTTTATTTCGCTCCGAAGTCTTCACTTGTGTCGCCAATTCAATACTGCCCCGTCGCGGTCCTAAACGCCTTTATATAGGATCTTTTCTACTAAAACATCTAGAATGCTCGAGCATATACCGGCCCCGATCGACTAGGTGTAGAGTAGAGTTCCGCCACTAGATTATTGTTTGCATGATTAATTTAATTAGGTACCATCAGGTAGGATCACTGTCATTTATCACTAGTTTATAACTTATAAAGAAATGTTAATAAGAGTATTTAGACAGTCTGGTACAGTGCATGCTTTTTTTTTAAATAGATAAAGTTAAGTAAGTGAAGTAGTGGATGAATAAAGCAATAATGTTTATAAATTTTGAAAAGTTTTAAGCAATATATTTTGAGTGTGATGTTGTGTATAGGCGTGTCTACGTTGAGAGGATCATTTAGCGTGTGCTCGTGGTCGTGGCGCGTACCGTCAATCTTGGGGCGGGCGACGGCGCGGAAGTCATCGTGCGTCTGGCTGGCGAGGAAGGCGTCGCGTAGCACGGCGGCCAGCTGGAACAGGCCGGCCACAGGCGCCAGCGCCGCCGCCTGCCGCAGCAGAGCGCGCGCGCCCGCGGCAGTGCACGCGTCCGCGCCGCTCAGCGCCACGCGCACTCCGCGCGCTCGCCACCTGCGCGCGTACGTTACGTTGCATACATACACACAACAATACGTTCACTTATGCAGGTCGGCGGTGCCCACGTCCGCGCCACACAGCGCCAACATGCACTCCGCGCGCCCGCCGCTTGCGCGCGCACGTTACTTTGCATACATACACACAACAATACGTTCACTCATGCAGGTCGGCGGTGCCCGCGTCCGCGCCACTCAGCGCCACGCGCACTCCGCGCGCCCGCCACCTGCGCGCGCACGTTACGTTGCATACATACACACAACAATACGTTCACTCATGCAGGTCGGCGGTGCCCGCGTCCGCGCCACTCAGCGCCACGCGCACTCCGCGCGCCCGCCACCTACGCGCGCACGTTACGTTGCATACATACACACAACAATACGTTCACTCATGCAGGTCGGCGGTGCCCGCGTCCGCGCCACTCAGCGCCACGCGCACTCCGCGCGCCCGCCACCTACGCGCGCACGTTACGTTGCATACATACACACAACAATACGTTCACTCATGCAGGTCGGCGGTGCCCGCGTCCGCGCCACTCAGCGCCACGCGCACTCCGCGCCGCCCGCCACCTGCGCGCGCACGTTACGTTGCATACATACACACAATACGTTCACTCATGCAGGTCGGCGGTGCCCGCGTCCGCGCCACTCAGCGCCACGCGCACTCCGCGCGCCCGCCACCTGCGCGCGCACGTTACGTTGCATACATACACACACACAATACGTTCACTCATGGAGGTCGGCGGTGCCCGCGTCCGCTCCACTCAGCGCCACGCGCACACCGCGCACCGTGTTAGGACCACGCTGCAGATATATCATTACAGCACGAATGAATCGACATGATTAAAAAAGACCCACGTTCTCACAAAATGTTAACGAATATAGTAGCCTAATACAGTTTCCTATTTTATGTTTACTCGTAACGAGACATTAGCTCTTAGGTATGACAACGTATCTATATTTTAATTTTTGAGTGAGATTCAACATCCCTTTACTATCAAGTAGACTATACGCACATCCCCGTCAATCAAAAATTACTAAACCCTTAGTATTCCCGTATTCTATTAAAAAAAGATAAAGTTTTATCCGACTATAAAATAAAGAGAAGATAGTGTGAGGAACGGTACCGGCGGATGCACCAGGCCTGGTAGCCGGTGCGCACACCGCTGCGCGAATTGAACAGCAGGCAAGTGGCACCGCGCACCACCAACCACTCCGCCAGCTCCAATCCGAACCCGCCCAGCCCGCCTGCAACACACACCACACTTGCTCACAACACTTACATTACCATTGTTGACACCTCACTGGGAGCGGGACGTATGAAGGTACGGGGGCAGCACGTTGGCAGCCACCTCCACTTGAGCAATCAGCGGCACTACGGCACAACCGTCATAAGCGACGAACACGTTACGCTCCGTCTTATTATTTTTAATCGATATAGTAAATTCTGTGTACCAAGTACATTCAATAATAGTATTCAGAAATTTCAAGCATTCTGTTATTGAAAAACAAGACTCGAAGCAGATTTTGGCAGAATCACCCGCAATACTCACTCACAATTCACTTGCATCTATTTGTTTATTTTATTAAAACAACCAACAAGACATACACGAACACAATGTAAATACTAGAAATAACAGAAAAGTTTATATCTAAGTGTCGTCTTAGTTAAAGGTTGCCCCAGCATGCAATGTGGACAACAAATATGTTTCTTTAAATTCTAGCTATTTTAGTTATTATTAATATATATTTTTAAACTAGACCCAAATATTTGCTAACAGCAAAGGGCTGCAAAATTTTTCGCTTGAATTTTTGAGGGCTATCAGCGAAGATATCGACGTCAAATGTCTTACGGAGCTTGTTATAATGCCTCTGTAACCAGTTTATAGTGGCGTGGTGACCCAAATTAGTTTTACTGCCTTCAACTGAAAAGGGAACGTATCATCTGACAGGCACTAGCTTGAATAGTACATTGAAATTTATTGAATTTAGTGCATATGGATAGTCTACGGTTCCATTGACGATTTAATGTAGCAACATGAAATCCAACAAAAGCCTCCGCTGTCGCGGGGTACTTAATTTAAAATACGTCAGTCGGTCTTCGTATGAGGGAAGATCCTTTATTTTGGAGAATTTTTACTCTATGCGTTTCACGTAAACGTCATAAAATGAAGACCAGATCTGACTACAGTATTCGAGGCCATAACGGACTAAAAACTTGTACAAGAAAATTTTTGTAGAATTGCGCAACACGAACCCCAACATTTGAAGACCCCCTCGTAACTACTCCGTCTATTATGAAACCGCAACTTTTTGTCAAGAACCACTCCCAGATCTCGAATTATCTATCTACTATTATAAATCGGTGTCTGTTCTTAACACACCTCAGACATCCGGTCCAAATCCTTTTGCAATAGTAGAGAGTCTCTGTGGTCTTTGATTTGCAAGGACAATTTCATATCATCTACATACATAGAGCAGTTCGCGTGATAAAAAACAGACGCAATGTCATTTATGAAAATATTGAAAAGAATCGGAACGGGATGGGAACCCTGGGCAACGCCAGACGTAGTTAGGAATGGTTTTGAGGAGTAACCATTTACCACAACTCCCGATTTTCTCTGCCTGAGGTATGAAGAGAACCATTAGAGAAGATTGCCAGTGATGCCCAAAACCGAGTTTGTGAAAGAAGCTGTTATGATCTTCAATGTCAAACGCCTTACTGAAGTCTGTGTAGATAGCGTCCACAGACAAGCGCGAATCGAGAGACTTGAAGACTTAGTCCACAAACGAAACAAAATTTGTAGCTGTGGAACGAGACGTAAAAAAACCGATTGTTGGGAAGAGATTATTTGTTTCGTGTGCCAAGCCAAAACAGGACTAACTAATGATTCAAAAACTTTAACGAAGACAGGAATATGGATATTGGTCTGTAATTTCTGAGGGATCCTGCGTCTCCTGATTTATAAATTGGGAAAGTACGTGCTTGTTTCCAGACCAAAGAAAAAGTACCCGTTTTTACGGACATATTGAGACCAAAGCCGCTTCACAGCAATTGACTAAAAATAATGGGGGTATGTCGTCAGGTCCATCTCCCTTGACCCGATCTAGACCAGTAAGTTTTGCGCGTCCAGAATAATTTTGGATTATTAGGAAGTGCTCCCTCCAGATAAACGGCATAGTTTCAGACAGGTGCATATTATTTCGGCGCATCTTTTGCTAAGTGTTCGTAATGCAAATTCGTTCAGTGGAATTTTGTATTTACGGTACCTCAAACAAAGTTTTTTTTCTTGAGGAGATGAATGATGATGAGTTCCTTTGTGTACTGAAAAAAATTTGTGGAGGGTTTACATTTTCGAACGTACTTAGTAATCGCGTCTCTTAAAGTAGCATAAAATCTCTTAACATGACATCCACTGAACATGAAGATTGTATACGTTCCCATGAAACTGAATTTAAATGTGTAATGATTTTATCGTAGTCCGCCTTGTTAAAATTATATACGTATTTGTCATTAAGCTTTAGGCGATAAACTTGGCGGATCACAACACGAAAATGTTAGAACTAAGGGAGGGTGGTAAGAGTCAGGGCTACTCAGAAGTCAGAAGAAAGTCACTACACACCACACTATTGACTTTCACCGTGCTGGAGAGAACGAGGTCAAGAATTCAACATTTGTCATTTCAAATATAGTTATATTGAGTGAGATTTTTTTTATAGAAGAGGGGGCAAAAGAGCATACGGTTCACCTGTTAAGTGACTACCGCCGCCCATGAACATCCGCAACATCAGGGGCTTTGCAGGTCCGTTGCCAGCCCTAAATGAGATTATTAAGATCAATAAAATCCAGCCGAGCATTACCTTTAGACGTTATTACCTTTATCCAACAAGCTTACTCTTGAATCCAATAACAATTTCGATCCAATCTCAATTTCAATCCAATGTCAATCCAATGTTGACAAATTAGCGTACTCTTGAAAACAATTTTGACAACATTGGATTGAAATCGGAATTGCGCTCGGATTGGCCAAAAATTTTGTTGTACCACATGAAGTTAGCTGCGTTACTCTTAGCAACAGGCACGTTTTATTTATCGTTAAACCCGTAGTCATAATAAGCCCTTTGTGACTTTCATAAACGAGGGTTTAAGTAGTAAAAATACTTAATAAATGGTGTAATTCGTCAAACATAACATCTTTTCATACAGTTCTTATAAAAAAACGCTATATTTGTGAATTTTAATTAATTATAAGGCTGTATAGGAGCGGGTCTTTGCCTCATTTTTTGTTGTCAGAAAAAAATTGTTATCACGACGATCATGAAGCAAAGTAAACAAATATCAACTTTCGAAGAACTCTTTTTAAGTTTAAAGGTGAAGTGCTTTTTATGTATGTGTACAGTGACTTATTAATAGATCTTTCAATTTAGGTATAACTATAAACAGTTTGAAATAGTTCATTACCGCATTAACATAATTACACATCATAGGAAACAGACGAAATGGGCAATGTTAGCTAATTAGGAGAAACAAAATAAATAATAATGGTCAAGGATAGGCTAAAGTAAGTTTAACAATGTTTTTTAAGAATTTTATAAGTAGATATTTTTTTTAATTTGGGCACAGAAAAAAAGCAATTTCTGGCCTGTTGAACAACATTAAACTAGGGATTGATAGCAGTCACAGGTGGTCAAGTGTTGCTTTTGAAGACTCAACTTACAATTAACCTTTCTCACTACTTAGTTATTACAAATAACAATGTTGATTCGTTAACTTCTCAATATTGTTGTGTGGCATAATAACTATTTTTTACTCACTTAAAGACAGACATTTTAATATTATTTTATTTTTCTAGGAATGTCTAATGGATAAGCTAGGGCCACGGCACCAAATGTGCCAACAGCTGGTTGATTTCATGGCGAAAAGAGACTTTATGATGAACTTTATCTTCTAGATACGGCCACATAGAAAATGGACTTGGTCGAGCCCCTACCTACAGTTTGATAAAAATAAGGAACTTGCAAAATATATGCCTTACACTTAAGTGGTAAAAAAGGTAATCCATCATTTTTTAATTGCAATAATTTACATAAATTGACGTCATATGTGTTATCTCTTAGTGTAGAGAATATAGATGTTTCAATAAATTTTAAACATCCTTTTAAATGGCTTGTGATGGATTAAAACTTCTAATTCAAATATTCCACCTTAATTTTGTCGTTGATTTATAATACATTACTCTACAGAGATGGGATGTTATCAAATATTTATTTTCATTTCAGAATCACAACTTAATTCCATACCTACCACATTCCCAAAGCAACAACACTTTACTAACAAGAAATGATCAATATATGGAGCATCTGAAAATAAAGTAATAACCAAATGCAATGTCCAAAATAGTGTTACGTGCTTGAGGTTCGTGACAATAAAAATTGCCGATAAAATTACCTAAATTAACACTTTAATTTACTTTACACAAATTAAAACTAAAAACACTAATAATTAACCACACTAATTCACTTAATTCCGCTCCGAAGCTTCGCTTGTGTCGCCGAGTTCAACTCTGCCCCGATCGCATCTTGCAGCGCCTATTTATATAATTAGCAAAGAAGCGTCCCGAACATTCAAGTAAATGCGCGCCAGGCAACGAGTATTCGAGTGTAGATTTTCCAGAAACTTAGTTCTTCGGGTGGTGCTGTCGATCGAAAGATTTGTGATGTCATTTACTGCAAAGCTCCCCTCGCTCTCGTTCCTGACACTAGATGGCGCTAGTGTGCCGATTTTAGCGCGTAACACTGCCCCCTTCTAAGACATGCTCGTCCCGAGCACTATCGGTCCCATAATAACGCGCTAGGCGATCCACATGGACGATCTTAGGAGTCCCTCTTGCGCCTTTCTGTAATGGCTCCGCAATGTCAAGGGATGTCCTATCCCGTGGTGCACCAACATTGTACAATTTCGATGCTCCTCTACTCCATGTCTGAGGTCCCCTCACAGCCGCACAACTTGTACATGTACGAAACCAATCCTCGACATCGTCACGATAATGGACCCAGTAAAACTGTTCTCGGACCTTCAGTAGAGTTCGTTTAACTCCCAGATGGACTCTTGAACGACCATTATGGCACAGCTGTAGAACATTCAGCACTTTAGCTTTAGGGACGACCATTTGCAGACGACAGCTGTCTCCTCGACCATTGTCCCATTTACGGCACAGGACTCCATCCTGAAGCAGCAAGCTGTCCCATTGGGCCCAATAGCATTTCGTGGTTGAACTCATCGCTGAGACGTCCTTCCACTTAGGCTTGGTAGCGCGGGCCTTCATCCATCCCAGAATCGGCTTGATGTCCGGATCTTCCTGCTGTGCATGTCGTAGGCTGTCCTTCCACCCGTTGCTGAGGTGGTCTGTTCTGAGCATCCTCACGGATACCACTTCCTTACCTTGCCTACTACAATGGTTGCCATCTTCAGGACAAGGTCTTCTTGACAATGCATCTGTGTTGCCGTGAGATTTCCCGCTGCAGTGTCTGATAGTAAAGTCGTATTTCTGCTGGTGCTGGGCGGTGCTGTTAGCCGCACTTCCTTTCTGAGACCGTTCACCTTCCCTTCCTAGGGTGTGCTTCGGGCAGCTGGACCGAAGATGGCCACTTTCCCCACAGCCATAGCACCTAGGGCTGTATCCTCTGTTGCGATCGCGAACTGTAACTGCTGCAACCTCCCTGACGCGATGGGAACGATGATCCTGCCGCACGGCTTCTACCTCCAGTGCATGGGCCAAGGCGTCCTTAAGCGTCTCGTGGTGCCCGAGCCTCACAGCAGCTCTGACTTCCAGGTCACGGATGCCGTCGATGAATGTCTGCACCAGGTTCCCTTCAATGAGCGCAGGTACAGACCGGTAAGCTTTTCGCACCAGCTTCTCCACCTCTAGAGCCCACTGCTGCAGGTTTTCGTTGATGCGCTGCACGCGATCTTTAAGCTGCGCACGAAAGACGTGTTCCAGGTGAGCGTCGCCATATCTCGCCTCCAATGCCTCTAAGAGTTGCTCATAAGTCACTTCCTCACCGAGAGCTTCCAGAACTGTTAAGGCCTGGTCGCGCAGGCCTAGTGTGAGAGCAGTCATGGCCTGACTTTTATTCCAGCCGTTCGCCTTCATAACAGCCTCGAACTGGATTTTGTAGGCTGACCAGGAAGAAGTCCCGTCGAATGGTGGCACCTTGAACCCACGTAGCGAAGGTGTAGTAGCTACTACGGGAGCTGTAGTTCCCTCCCCAAGTTTGAGTTCGTCAAGTGATTTCCTCATGTCCGCCATTACGTTGTCAACCCGATTGTTCACTTGGTCAATTCGGGTTTCAGCTTCCGACAGGCGGTTATTGAGCAACCCTATTCTTCACCTCCCTTATCTCTTTCCCGAAGGTAGCATGAAAGTACTTCATGAGAAGCAGCTGTTCCTCCTGTCGGCGGGCCTGTTCTGCCTGTCCGCCCCGCAGCTGCTCTTCCAACCGACGGACCTGTTCCTCCTGTCGGCGAGCCTGTTCCGCCTGCTGATCTGCTAACCGACGGGCCTGTTCATCCTGTCCGCTCTGCAGCTGCTTTTTCAACTGACGGACCTGTTCCTCCTGTCGGCGAGCCTGTTCCTGCAGCATCACCATCAGGGCGCCTAAATCAGGTGCTGCAGATGCAGGAGCTACTGACGAACCGGCCTCCGTTGCCGGCGGCTGGCCCTCCGACGTCTGCGGCGTTGCACCACCAAATCTTCTCTGGTCCGTCTCATGCTGGCGTTGACTGCGGGTACGAACACCCTCCGTTTCCTCCTTAGGTAAAATCGGCATGATTTTATCCCACTTCTGACACCAATTGTTACGTGCTTGAGGTTCGTGACAATAAAAATTGCCGATAAAATTACAAGTAAATGCGCACCAGGCAACGAGTATTCGAGTGTAGATTTTCCAGAAACTTAGTTCTTCGGGTGGCGCTGTCGGTCGAAAGATTTGTGATGTCATTTACTGCAAAGCTCCCCTCGCTCTCGTTCCTGACACTAGATGGTGCTAGTGTGACGATTTTAGCGCGTAACAATAGCCAGGACTATTGAGGGTTTTAATATTATTGTTTTAAATTTTCCAAACGGAATACAACAACAATAGCATTGCTGTAATTTAAAATAAGACTCATTTAATTTTATAAATGTTTTAATGTTATTTTAAATTTATTTGTTTTCTTTTAATTACTTTTGTAAAAGAAACTGATTTTTAGTTCACTGAAGATATAATTTTAAGATTTTAATTTTATAGTCTTATCATTTGATATATAATCAATATGTTTTTGTTTAAGCTATATTATCAAATTTCAAATATGAAAAATAGATTTAATGTAGATTTAGTATGTAGGTAAGAATATATACTAGTGGTGATAGGTTGATAAAAATATGTTTGTATTATATTAAATAAATGGTTAAATTTGTATCAGAATGTTATTAACAAATCCTTATTAAAAAGTAATGAGTGAATGCAGGAAATAAAGTAAATGGGGCTCTAAACTCTATTGTGAAAAGTCAGAATGTGTCAAAAAGGCACATATGGCTATGTTAGTCCCTATTTTAACATATGGTAGTGGAAGTTGGGTGTGGCAGAAGAAGCACGAAAGTAGAATAAACGCAGTAGAAATGCAGTCATTAAGGAGTATGGTAGGGCTGAACGTGAATGAGAGGGTGAGAAATTGTGTGATAAGAGTGTGGTTTGCAAGATGATGTGACCAGTATTAAGAAAGGAATGCTTCGGTTGTATGGTCATAAACAAAAAATGAATGAGGAACAGGTGACAAAGCAAATTTATGTTGCAGAAGTGAGCGGCAGAGTTGGAAAGGGATGTTCTAGGCGAAAGAATACCGACAAAATTGACGATATACTGAAAAAGGGCCAAATTAAGGGTACCCTTAACCGACGAGCATGTATGTATATAATGATGTGGAGGAGGCAAGAGGTGTGTCAGGATTGTGCCAAATGGAAGTCTGCATTCTGTGCCCACCCCTCTGAGTGACAGGCGTGAGTGTTTATGTTGTGTTAAGTTATATGTTATTAAAATTACGTTAGTTATATAATTTTATTTTTAATTCTTATAAAATTATACATTTATTATATTCATATTTCCTTTACGTGTGAAACCCGCCAATAAACCTCTCAAACATGATAAGAGACCTGTGGGATGCTTTAGATCATACTTGAGATATCTAAACAATCCTCTTTAAACCTTTGCGCCGCCTAAATATTGAAAATATTTCTTCTACAAAACAACCACTTTAAAACGAATTAAAAATAAAGGCTGTAACAATATGATGTAAAATATATTCTCTACGGAGGATCATATTTAGGTTTTTATTCATGCACTATTTTCTCACTAAAGTCCTTAATAATACAATTATTAGCTCCATAATCATCATCAATCATAGGAAAAAAACTTAAGTGCTTAAAACGCATAATTTGAAGCTCATTTCGTCATTATTTTTATTTTAATCCACTATTACGGCGTAGAATAATAGGCGCAAAAGCTAAACATGTCATTATTTTATCGAAAACAATAAGATAATTGCAGAAAACAAAAGATTAATATGAACACAATTCCTAAAACGTTACTGTTTTGCTATTGCCTTAATTCCAATTCCAACGCAATATCAAACACAATACGCTGCTGTCAACTAACTGTCAAAAGTGCGTCGGGAGTACCGATTTCGCTTGGACAATTTCAATTCCAATCCCAATTAGTTCACACAATCACCACGCAATACTAAACTAATTTAGCGCTAGAGTCGCTTTCAAGAGTACCAAACGTCATAATTCCAATCCCGATCGATCGGAATTGTTTTCAAGAGTAAGCCTACAGATAATTTACCCGAATTGAAGTCGCCCATAATTAATGTTTTGCATTTGATTCCAACACACGTTTTGTATTTTCAATCTAACAATCAATAATGTTTTTTTTTTTTGTAAAGGCGGGGGAAGATAATCAAAACACAATAATATTTTTTCAGAGGAACTACCTCTTCCGCCTATCTCTAATTCCACACATATATCCTCACGGTCGCTTTCTAGATGTGACATCCTACCAGAGCAGATATGTTTGTGAGCCACCGCAACCTCATCTATGCAATACAGTAATAACACATTCAATTTATATCTATTTTATTGTAGCACACGCTTTTACTTGACAGAGGCGGTTATAAAGAGGCCCTTATCATCGGGAACAATCTTGTGTGCAACGTGATGCACGAGAATGTTCTCAAGATAAATAGCCCAAATAAACAACTGGCATTATCATAATTTCAATATCATACAAATTCTTCAATTATTTCAAAGTCAGATGCACTCACCGATGAGCACGTAGCATTTTTCAGGATGGAAGTAGGTGCGCGGCACGGCAGACACCAGCTTGGGGGCGGGGCCGGACTCCTCGTCGCGTAAGCGCAGCAGCACCTTGCCGATGTGCTTGCCCGTGGCCATGTACCTGTAAGTCAGTTATTTATTACAATTCCCTGCATCATAAATGTATCATGTCTTTATCACTTATGGATATTCTCTTCGCAGCCCAATGTGGAATTCCGATTTTTAATTCACACAAGAGACATAAGAAATGCTATTCCTAACAGTGTCATTGATTAGACCATGAGGAATTTTATACGTCTGTTTTGTTAGCCCCACCGTTGCTCGGAAGTGAAGCTAGAGTGGTGTGTGTGCTACCGGAAGGCCTACTCGAGCTGTTGGTCGGAGAAGACGGTGCTGGGCAGCGGGCGCACGGCGCCACTGGCCAGCCCCGCTGCCGCGCGCTCGCTATACGTGACATGTAGCTAGAGTGGTGTGTGTGCTACCGGAAGGCCTGCTCGAGCTGTTGGTCGGAGAAGACGGTGCTGGGCAGCGGGCGCACGGCGCCACTGGCCAGCCCGCTGCCGCGCGCTCGTTCTACGTGACATGTAGCTAGAGTGGTGTGTGTGCTACCGGAAGGCTTGCTCGAGCTGTTGGTCGGAGAAGACGGTGCTGGGCAGCGGGCGCACGGCGCCACTGGCCAGCCCCGCTGCCGCGCGCTCGTTCTACGTGACATGTAGCTAGAGTGGTGTGTGTGCTACCGGAAGGCTTGCTCGAGCTGTTGGTCGGAGAAGACGGTGCTGGGCAGCGGGCGCACGGCGCCACTGGCCAGCCCCGCTGCCGCGCGCTCGTTCTACGTGACATGTAGCTAGAGTGGTGTGTGTGCTACCGGAAGGCTTGCTCGAGCTGTTGGTCGGAGAAGACGGTGCTGGGCAGCGGGCGCACGGCGCCACTGGCCAGCCCCGCTGCCGCGCGCTCGTTCTACGTGACATGTAGCTAGAGTGGTGTGTGTGCTACCGGAAGGCCTGCTCGAGCTGTTGGTCGGAGAAGACGGTGCTGGGCAGCGGGCGCACGGCGCCGCTGGCCAGCCCCGCGGCGGCGCGCTCGTTCTACGTGACATGTAGCTAGAGTGGTGTGTGTGCTACCGGAAGGCCTGCTCGAGCTGTTGGTCGGAGAAGACGGTGCTGGGCAGCGGGCGCACGGCGCCACTGGCCAGCCCCCCCGCCGCGCGCTCGTTCTACGTGACATGTAGCTAGAGTGGTGTGTGTGCTACCGGAAGGCCTGCTCGAGCTGTTGGTCGGAGAAGACGGTGCTGGGCAGCGGGCGCACGGCGCCACTGGCCAGCCCCGCTGCCGCGCGCTCGCTATACGTGACATGTAGCTAGAGTGGTGTGTGTGCTACCGGAAGGCCTGCTCGAGCTGTTGGTCGGAGAAGACGGTGCTGGGCAGTGGGCGCACGGCGCCGCTGGCCAACCCCTCCGCTACGCAGCGCACCACGGCCGCGCGCTCGCTCTCCGCACCCGCTTCCGCTTCCGCGTTCGCATCGAAGAGCGCGTCCAGCAAGATGCCGTGGAATGTCGTGTTCTTCAAGAATATCGCCATGCCCTGCATCATGTAAGAACACACTTTATAATATTATCATTTGGAAACCAGCAACATACGAGGGTGGATTGAAAAGTACTCGGCCTAACCAAGAAAATAAACACATACTAAATCAGTTATATTTTTATTTTTTATCAAGAGCAAGGCAAAAAACCAGACTTTTACATAATCACCATCAAGTTCAATACACTTTTGCCACCTCCCCTTCCAAGCATTTAGACCGTTGAAAAAAAATGATTCTTCCTTAGAGTCAAAATATGCGCCTACAGTTGCTTTGACCTCGTCGTTTGTCGAAAATCTTTGACCTCCCAAGTGCTTTTTTAGGTTAGGGAACAGAAAGAAGTCTGATGGTGCCAGATCAGGTGAATACGGCGGATGCGGTAACAGTTCAAAGCCACAGTTGTGAATTTCAGCCATTGACTGTACTGACGTGTGAACACGGGCGTTATCTTGATGAAACAGGACTTTTCTTCTGAGCATTCCTCGACGTTTTTCTTTTATTTCCTCTCGTAAACGACGTAGTAAGGTGCAGTAGTAATCAGAGTTTATAGTCTGACCCCTTTCAAGATAATCAATCATAATCACACCTTTCGAGTCCCAGAATACTGAAGCCATCACCTTATTTGCCGACAAAATCGACTTAGCCTTTTTAGGGGGTGGTGAACCAAGTCTTCTCCACTGTTTTGATTGTTGTTTTGTTTCCGGTGTACAGTAATGAACCCATGTTTCGTCCATAGTAACAAAACGATTCAAAAAATCATCTGCATCGGCTTCAAATAACTCCAAACAGTCGCGTGAAATAGTCAATCGCGTCCTTTTTTGTTCAACTGAAAGCAGTCGCGGAACCCACCTCGCAGACACCTTGTGGAAACCCAACTCGTTGACAATGATGTTTTGAGTTCGTTCATAAGAGATGCCTATAATCTCGGCTATCTCTCTAATTTTTAATCTGCGGTCTCCCATTATTAAATCAAGTACTTTTTTAATATTTTCGTCAGTAGTTGACGTCGAAGGCCTTCCAGAGCGGGGTTCATCTTTCACACTCTCTCTACCACGCTTAAATTCTGCTATCCATTTTTTGACGGATAAATATGACAGAGCACAATCGCCTAATGTACTGACCATGTCATCATGGATGGCTTTTGATGATAGCCCCTTCTTATGGAGGTACTTAATGACGGCACGCTGCTCGACTTTCTCCATTCGCGGAAATTATGTCCGATTACTTTGTTAATAAATTTATAAAATCACAACTAATTATCGCACACGTTTCGAACTTCACACAATGAACTAGTCTGAACTGAACTAAATAATGTGGGTAGATTTGATTTTTAGAATTGAATGGATCTGTGTTAGGCCGAGTACTTTTCAATCCACCCTCGTATATGGCTATTTATTTTATTAATTATTTGGATGCATGCGATATATTGCAATAGCGACCAGTGTTTAATATAAATAAAAATTAAGGATAAAACATGCAAAATAAGGGCATAAATACATTGATATAAAAACAAATTTAAATGATGTATATGAATACCAAATTATAAATAATTGAACTACGTACGTAATTAACTTACGTACGTTTCGTACGTTATTAACTCGTATGTTGTGGCGGTGTAAGGATACTCACTAACGGCACCTTTGACAACAACTTAAAATAATACAAGCTAAGCGTGACAATGACGGCAAAATCCTCTCTATGGCGCACTCTATGAGAAAATTCTATGTTCACAAGTGAACTTTTATAGGCTGTAATGGAAGTTATAATTCAGTGACGCGTTTCGGAAAGTAAATAAAACGACAAGGTAAGCCCTATATAATGGCACACTCACCAAAGGAGTGTTGTTGGAGAGGTCGAGCTTGCCGATCTCGAGGAAGCGTCCGCCGTTGGCGAGGCAGCGCACGGAGGCGAGCAGCTTGTCGGCGGCCAGCGAGTTGAGCACCAGGTCGACGCCGCGGCCGCGCGTGCGCCGCAGCACCAGCTGCTCGAAGGACGTGTCGCGCGAGTTGCCGATGTTCTCGTCGAGCAGCTGCGGGAAGCGCTCGCGTAGGAAAGCACGCTTCTCGGGCGAGCCCACGGTGGTGAACACGTGGCAACCGTGGTGCAGCGCCAGCGCGATGGCGGCTTGCCCCACGCCGCCCGAGCCCGCGTGTACCAGCACGGCGTCGCCGCGCCGCATGCGGCCGCGCACGATCAGCGCGTAGTACGCGGTAGCGTACGCTACGGGCACGGTGGCCGCCTGTTCCAGAGACCAGTGCGCCGGTATCTCCCACAGGAAGTCGTCGTCAACCAGTACCGACGTGGCCAGCCCGCGCGCCGCCACCATGCCCATCACGCGCTTGCCGCCAGCCGACACGCCGCTGAACTCCAGCCCCAGAATGCACTCCTGCCACACGACACCGACGCTCAATATAAAATATCATAGAAAGTAAACGGGTTTTGCACTTGCTAATAAAGCTTCTACGTCAGTTTAGGTAGATAGCAGTTTTCATCAATTGTTATACCGACTTGTAGGATAAGGGTAGAGCTGTAGTGTATGGCCATGTAATGAATCTACAGTCAAGACCACCAGACGTATTATTATTTATTTCCCGAATCTCCCAACACTACAGAGCCAGGTAACAGGCTAATATAAGACCAACACAACGCGCCACAAAGCATTTCATCTTTTTAATATGTAACAACACACGCAAATTTATAGTCTCTTTAGGTTATAATTACCCACTGTTTTCAGTAACAGTTAACTTACTCCATTGTTATACATTCAGATGTTAGTTCGTTTGTCAGTATAATGCTTTATAATAAAAGTTTTCTCTGCGCACGCATGTTTTTGCTTATTCTGTTACATATTGTGTACGCGGCACAGCGCGACGTACCTGTCCCGGGAGGTTGCCGGGCAGCGCGTCGGGCGGCAGCTTGCCGGTGGCCAGCATGATGTCGCGGAAGTTGAGCGGCGCGTAGTGCACGCGGCACAGCGTGACGTACCTGTCCCGCGAGGTTACCGGGCAGCGCATCGGGCGGCAGCTTGCCGGTGGCCAGCATGATGTCGCGGAAGTTGAGCGACGCGTAGTGCACGCGACACAGCGTGACGTACCTGTCCCGCGAGGTTACCGGGCAGCGCATCGGGCGGCAGCTTTCCGGTGGCCAGCATGATGTCGCGGAAGTTGAGCGGCGCGTAGTGCACGCGGCACAGCATGACGTACCTGTCCCGCGAGGTTGCCGGGCAGCGCGTCGGGCGGCAGCTTTCCGGTGGCCAGCATGATGTCGCGGAAGTTGAGCGGCGCGTAGTGTACGCGGCACAGCGTGACGTACCTGTCCCGCGAGGTTGCCGGGCAGCGCGTCGGACGGCAGCTTTCCGGTGGCCAGCATGATGTCGCGGAAGTTGAGCGGCGCGTAGTGTACGCGGCACAGCGTGACGTACCTGTCCCGCGAGGTTGCCGGGCAGCGCGTCGGGCGGCAGCTTTCCGGTGGCCAGCATGATGTCGCGGAAGTTGAGCGGCGCGTAGTGTACGCGGCACAGCGTGACGTACCGGTCCCGCGAGGTTGCCGGGCAGCGCGTCGGGCGGCAGCTTTCCGGTGGCCAGCATGATGTCGCGGAAGTTGAGCGGCGCGTAGTGTACGCGGCACAGCGTGACGTACCTGTCCCGCGAGGTTGCCGGGCAGCGCGTCGGGCGGCAGCTTTCCGGTGGCCAGCATGATGTCGCGGAAGTTGAGCGGCGCGTAGTGTACGCGGCACAGCGTGACGTAACGGTCCCGCGAGGTTGCCGGGCAGCGCGTCGGGCGGCAGCTTTCCGGTGGCCAGCATGATGTCGCGGAAGTTGAGCGGCGCGTAGTGTACGCGGCACAGCGTGACGTACCTGTCCCGCGAGGTTGCCGGGCAGCGCGTCGGACGGCAGCTTTCCGGTGGCCAGCATGATGTCGCGGAAGTTGAGCGGCGCGTAGTGTACGCGGCACAGCGTGACGTACCTGTCCCGCGAGGTTGCCGGGCAGCGCGTCGGGCGGCAGCTTTCCGGTGGCCAGCATGATGTCGCGGAAGTTGAGCGGCGCGTAGTGCACGCGGCACAGCGTGCGGCCCGGCGCCGGGCTGGCGGCGGCCAGCCGCAGCGGGCTCTCGATCCAGCGCAGCGAGGACAGGTCGCCACGCGTCAGTGTGTTCACGTACGCGTGCTCCACCTGACACACGTTTTTTTACTGTTCACTTACGCACTTTAGCACTTGCCACATTACGTTAACAATCAATACATGTCCTATGTAGAAAGCTTAAGGAAGTGTGCGAACAGGTCTTTTACACGTTACCGCTTGTTTGTTAAATATAGCAAATGCAAAGACAGTGAAATGATGTGCCTTAGAGATATATTATGATAAATTGCATCAAGTTGTAGATTATATTTACACTAATGTGTTATAGTGGGGATACTCCCCTTATATGTCAAAAAGATACATATGGAAATTCAAACAGTGTTAGTCCATATAGAAATAGAATAAAAGCTGAACAAATGCAGTCATTAAGGTGTATATTTTTTTATATAGAATAGGGTGACAGACGAGCACACAGTCCACCTGATGGTATGTGGTTGCTGCGGCCCATAGACATCTACATCTATCCTCGATTACAAAACCAAATGCAGATGCGTTCTCACCCGTGAGGACTAAGATGGAATGCCTCGTTTCCAGTAAAAAAGGGTCGCCGGTTCTCTACACTCACCATACGAAATACAGCAGCGTTAAGCTACTATTTCATGCTGGTATTCTGTGAGAACGTGTTCCTACCCCGGTTGAGCCGACCCATTCGTGCTACAACTATACAATTAATACAGCTGCAGCACGGCTCTACCACGTACAAAAGGTTGAATCAGAATGACACGGTGAGAAATTATGTGATAAGAGAAGTGTGGTTTATAAGACTATGCTGTGAACAGGATTAAGAATTTTTTAGTTTTATCATGTAGAAAGAATGAATGGGATATGGATGAACAGGAGGCGAGAGAGATGTCGCGATCGTGCCATATGGAAGTCAGTAGTCTCTGCCTTTCCTTCTGGATGACAGGTGTGTGTTTGTTCTTTAATGTTAATAATGTAGGCAATGTATCGATTTTGAAATAAATCAGTAGTAACCTTGAATAAAACAACATTTTCGGATTATATCGCGTTTATTTAACTGATTTTACTTATTTTTATTTCCCGGCGTTTCGGGTGCTTTACAGCACCCATGGCCACTGGGGGGACTAAGATGTTTGACGTCCCAATGTCATAGTTAGCCCGGCTACCTTCAGTTTTTGAATATTAATTTTTGGTCCGATTTACGCAAAACGAACTTACACTATCTTGAAGTCTTGCAGTGGTATGCTTGGGTTTGGGTTTAATTTTATTAATTATAGGATCTCAAGCAGGTGGCAGCACCCATCCATCTTCTCTATTGAAATTAGTATGTTTTTGAATTTCAATAGCCTCGCGTATCATCCTTGGTAGGAATCGGTGTTCTTTTGCGAGAATTTGTGGTTTATCAAATCTGATGTAATGGTGGGGACGATCTTGAACATGTTCGCAGACTGCAGACTTCCCGGAGCGTCGGTGCTTCACGTCAGCTATATGTTCTTTCACGCGGGTTTTTATGGATCTTTTTGTTTGACCTATGTAAGAGAGACCACATTCACAATCTAACTTGTACACTCCTGCATCTTGTAGAGGGATATTACACTTGACGGATGGTAAAAATTGACTAATCTTCTTCGGCGGCTTGTAGTATGTTTTAATGGAAGCTCGCTTCAAGATGTAGCCAACCTTGTCTGTGACTCCTCTGACATATGGTAGTACAGCAGGTACACGCTCGACTGTGGCCGGCTTCACTCGGTCACTGTGACGTAGGCGCGGGACCCGAAGCTTGTTGTCTTGCAACACTTGCTTGACATGCTGCAGCTCGGCGGCCAGATGTTTTCTGTCACAGATCCCTCGTGCTCTCTGAAAGAAAGATTTACCCACGGTAGCTAACTGTGAAGGATGATGGTGAGATTCACCATTTAAATATCGGTTGGTATGGGTCTTTTTTCTATACACAGTGTGACCAATAGTGTTATCAGGATTTCGAATGACGAAAAGCTAAAGAATTATTTGCCTCTAACTCCGATTCTCCGCGCGGATAAAGGAAACGCTACGGTAATAATGGACACGTCAGAGTATAGTTTTAAAATACTACAACTTTTATCGGACGAAAGTACATATAAAAAGGTCAAAACAGACCCCACAACTAACACGCTTAAAGCAACTAGCGATTTAATAAAGAAATACTCCGAAAAATTAAATCTCGACGTGAATTCGCTAATACCATCATGTACCAAACCACCAAGGTTGTATGGGTTACCGAAGATACACAAACCAAACGCTCCACTACGTCCTATAGTGACCCAGATCGATTCACCAACTTATAAGCTGGCACAACACTTGGCAAAAGTACTGTCACCACTGAGAGGACATACCAGAGCACACACAAAGGATTCATACAATTTTGTTAGTGAGATAAAAGACCTACATCTCGGTGACAATGAAACTATGGTCAGTTTTGATGTTCAGTCACTATTCACATGCCTACCTATTGCATCTCAATTGTAACTAGGAAGCTAGAAGATAACAACATGCCTGCTGAATATACAGTATTACTCAAACATTGCCTCACATCTGGCTATCTATTGTGGAAGGAAGAGTTCTACAAGCAAGTAGATGGTGTGGCGATGGGCTCACCTGTATCTCCCATAGTCGCCGACATATTTATGGAGGACTTCGAGGAGAAAGCCCTTCTTACTGCTCCTGTAAATCCAAGATTCTACAAGCGGTACGTAGACGACACCTTCACGATTTTACCATCTGACAAAGTAACTGCATTTTTAAACCACCTTAACTCTATAAACTCTAAAATACAATTCACAATGGAGTTAGAGGCAAGTAATTCTTTAGCTTTCCTAGATGTTTTAGTCATTCGAAATCCTGATAACACTATTAGTCACGCTGTGTATGGAAAAAAGACCCATAACAACCGATATCTAAATGGTGAATCTCACCATCATCCTTCACAGTTAGCTACCGTGGGTAAATCTTTGTTTCAGAGAGCACGAGGGATCTGTGACAGAAAACATCTGGCCGCCGAGCTGCAGCATCTCAAGCAAGTGTTGCAAGAGAACAAGCTTCGGATCCCGCGCCTACATCACAGTGACCGAGTGAAGCCGGCCACAGTCGAGCGTGTACCTACTGTACTGCCATATGTTAGAGGAGTCACTGACAAGATTGGCTACATCTTGAAGCGAGCTTCTATTAAAACATACTACAAGCCGCCGAAGAAGATTAGTCAATTTTTACCATCCGTCAAGCGTAATATCCCTCTACAAGATGCAGGAGTGTACAAGTTAGATTGTGAATGTGGTCTCTCTTACATAGGTCAAACAAAAAGATCCATAAAAACCCGCGTGAAAGAACATATAGCTGACGTGAAGCACCGACGCTCCGGGAAGTCTGCAGTCTGCGAACATGTTCAAGATCGTCCCCACCATTACATTCGATTTGATAAACCACAAATTCTCGCAAAAGAACACCGATTCCTACCAAGGATGATACGCGAGGCTATTGAAATTAAAAAACATCCTAATTTCAATAGAGATGATGGTTGGGTGCTGCCATCTGCTTGGGATCCTATAATTAACAAAATTAAACCCAAACCCAAGCATACCACTGCAAGACTTCAAGATAGTGTAAGTTCGTTTTGCGTAAATCGGACCAAAAATTAATATTCAAAAACTGAAGGTAGCCGGGCTAACTATGACATTGGGACGTCAAACATCTCAGTCCCCCCCGTGGCCATGGGTGCTGTAAAGCACCCGAAACGCCGGGAATTAAAAATAAGTAAAATCAGTTAAATAAACGCGATAGAATCCGTAAATTTAGTTTTATTCAATGTGTAGTGTTCGCGTAAATTTAAGAAATCATTAAATCAGTAACCTGCAGCTGCATGTCGGCGGAGTCGGGCAACAACAGGTGCCTGTAGGAGCCCCAGACGCCGGCGCGCAGTACGTTGAAGGCCAGGTCCTTGCGCACCTGGCGCGCGTAGGCGGGCGCGTGTGGGGCGAAGGGTTCGCTCGCGCCGGGCAGGAAGTACAGGCGTAGCGCGCGGCCACCCGGCTCGGCGCGCAGGCACGTGCCCAGTCCCAGCAGCCCAGCGGTGGGCGCACGCGACCACGCGTACACGCGCATGTCCTCGCTCTCGGCGCTCGCTAGCGCCTCCCGCAGCGGCTCCAGCCAGCTGTACGACGAGTCCTCGTCGACCTCGACCACCACGTGCGTGTCGGGCACGGTGGGGCGGCGGTGCAGCAGGAGGTAGTCGCGGAGGGCGGCGCGCTGGCAGGCTACGAGTTCCAAGCCAGCTGTGGCGAGTGCGCCGGCAGCGGCAGGTGTGTCGAGTGCGGCGCGTGGCTCTTCTAGCAGCAGCATGCCGCTGGGCGCCAGCGCCTCCGCCAGCTGCGTCAGCACGGGCGCGCCTAAAGCCAGCGCGTCCGCGGCCATCACCAGGTGACACTCGCTGTCCGGCGGTGTGCTTGCCGCGTCCTTATTCGTCACCTAACGACGAGTTGTCAGTTACATTTACAAAACTATAGTATAGACTAAGACTGGCTTAAGTGACGCGTCTTAAAAGGAGGCTTATGTCCACACCACACATAAAGCAAGGTTTAGACGAAGCCAGCACTGGCTGCCAATGAAACTGACAGCCAGTGCTTTTTGTTCTGTACTGAGATTAACACCTGGATACGGGGTCATTAAGTATGTTTTTAGCGGAAAGACCGCATCCCCGATAATCACTCCGTTGTCAGGTAATAAGTTATTTTTCAGCTTTCGGTAAATTGAACTATTTTTAAAAACTCCTCTATCAGATGCGCTAATACATGCGCCAACATCTACATATAAAAAACAGTAGTCGTGACCGGTAATAGCTAACAATACGATGCTGCTTGTTTTTTTTTTTGTAATTGAAGTATAAAGTTCCACTTTTAGGAGGAGCTTTGATTGACATTTGTTTTCCGTCTATGGAACCGTAACATAAGGGGAAATCCCATCTTGTTTTAAACCCAGTTTCGATTATTTTCCATTCTTTTGCATTTGGTATCTGTAAAAAAATGGCAATAAAATTACTTTTTCTTTTGTATAATTACAGGATAACACAGAAGTCTCACGTAGAGTATCTTCACATATCTCCTTACACAAACAAGGATCATCGTCGGTTAATATACCACGTTCGGAAAATGGGGTAGAAAATGAATCAGAGACCACCGTAAGAGGCACAACAAGATACACCACAATTCACTCCACCCATAAAAAACTAATCGGGACAAATTATCACAATTATCTGACATGATCAAAGATCTGAGAAACTATAATAATGAAAACACAAACACATCCATATGCAGCGAAGAAACAGATCTGGATATATTTGGAAAAAGCGTCTCGGCACAAACGAATTAAATTTATCTGAGGATCAGGCAGTCATTGGTAAAGAAAAGGTACAGAGTGTATTAACTCAATGCATGCTTGCAAATATACGAGGCAGGAATGCATATCAATTCAGCAATCTCAAAATATGTCATTTATTCATTGGAACCCATCTCAAATCTATCTTCCTCCAGAGCAAAGTCCAAGAGATGCTACAAATTCTTCCACGAGTTTCCAGTACAGCGATGACAATTATACTGCTTCAAGTCACGGCGAAAGCGTCATGCAATTTGCGTTCAAAATGCTTAAAATTAATTGTTTGTTGGATTTTAATACAGTTGTGTAACTATTTTATTTATGTAATTATAAAATAGTTACACAACTGTATTAAAAAAAAATAAACACTTACTTTAATAAACGGTTTTATGCTTGATTATTGCTCGACAAACTTCTGGTATAAATTATTAACCTTCCGATATAGAAGGTTTAGAAACACGATAAAATGACTCAAGCTTCGGTAACTCATTCCAGTAGCTAAAAATGACAATATTACTTCTAGCTTTATTTTTGCTGGTAATGTATCTCTCATTAAAGTATCTTTGAGCGAAGTAATATATTTACGCTATATAAGTGACAGTAACTCTTCAAAGTTTTCAGTCGTAATTCGCAATGCCAATCTGTACTCGGAAGGATCTTCTAATCTTAGTTGTTCTAGCAACAAAGCGGAAGCCCCAGTTACAGATCTATCGCTTAGCCATTTTTTCATCCAAAGTCTTCTATTTTTTACTATTTCTTCCTCTAATATATTGATCAACTCTTCTCTTAATAGTGCAGGGATATTTTTTATACATTTATTTTTCAACCGCCGCCGCATTTGTCCCAAATTTATTGTTTTAAAACACAAAACGTGTGCGCAGTACCAGAAGAATAATCCAGGACTGGCGCCAGCGTTACTGGCTTCATTTAAACGTTGCTATAATTATTAAGTTAACACAAAAACTTAATCAGCGGGTTCCAGTTTATATCAGAAACATTGTTCATGATTCTTATATTTTTTTAAAATTCTAAACAATAAAGTATGTTCTGATTATGCGGTGCAACCCGCATGTTATTTTACTACATTATTATCAATTTCCTGTCAAAATAATTAATCAGTTGAAATAAAATATTTTTTCTCTTATATCATCTATCATTTAAAGGTGTTTCGTACATTGATAAAGAAATATTATATAGATTTTTATATAATGGAACCAAAATTTTTATGTGTAGTTCAATCAAGTTATAAATATTATGAATAAATAAATTTGTTTCGGGTAGGTACTCATTTCCTTGTTAGCGACTAGCCACATTATCGTTATAGGCTATTAAGTCCTTGCTAAACATAAACATCCCCCATAAATTGCCTCAAAGGGGGATATAATATGATTCATAACTCCACACAGTGGTGAATAAATTGTAAGCTCTGTAAGCTTGTTCAGTATAAAGTGGGATAGTAGTCGATAGCAGTAGTAGATAGTAAATTGCCTGATAGTAATTAAAGTATGATGCTCACTTTAACGGCCAAGGGCTCCATGGCGGCGGTGTAAAGCGCGTGTTGCGAGCCGGCGGCCAGGCTAGCGTCGAGGCGCGCCTGCGGCTCGGCCTGCAGCAGCGGCAGCACATGCGGCAGCAGCAGCGCGTCGGCCGGCCGGCCCAGCGCCGCCTCCACGCCGCGCAGCCGCAGCACGCCCGCGTTCTCCAGCACCAGCTGCAGGCACGCAGTGAGCGCGTCACGCCGCGACCGCGTTGCGTCCTTGTCCTCCACGCCCGCTTCCGCCTCGTACGGCACGAACACGTGCTTCTCCAGCTTGGGCGCGGGCTGCGGGTTGGCGCGGCGCGGCGCGAGGCTGGTCTTGACGCCGCGCAGCTCCACGCCGCCCGCCGAGATCACGTCGATGTCGCGCAGCATCCGCACCGGCACCGCCGCCGCGGCGTCGGGCGCCGGCTGCGCCGCAGGGTCGATGAGCGCGCGCTGCAGCCGCGTGGGCAGGTACAGCTCGCGCGTGTCCACGCCGATGATGCCGAACTGCAGCATGGTGTCCATGAACGAGATCCAGTTGCCGTCCCAGGCGAGCGTGCCGGCGGTACCGCGCGCGTCCGACGTGCGGATGCCGCGGAACACGCCGCCGTAGTTGTACCCGCGGAGTCGCAGCTCCTTATATATGTCGTCGGTGACGAGCGGCAGCTGGTCCGGCTCCGCATCGGCGACGTGTTCGGGTAGCGCCAGGCGCTCGGCGGCGGGCTCCTCGACCAGGCGCACGTTGCCCGTCACGACGACGGCGCCGCCTTCGCACACGTCGAACTGCCCGCTGCCGTCCAGAATGTTGATGAGGAAGCGTACGGGAGCGTCGCGAGATACGATTGTGGCACGCTTAAATTGGACGTTTTCGAGTAAAATTGGGGTTTCTTCTAATTTGCGATTATTAATTTTAGCCATTGTTTTCCACACGAGCGTCTGAAATAAAAATATATTATTTTGTATTGACGTGCCTTTTGTTGTATATAAATTTAATATTTTTACTTGGGGGTGTAATATAATCGCTTTTTGTCTTGTTTGTTTAAAATTTAGTCTAAATTAGGAGTGGGCTGTAACAGGTAAAACGGCATATTTGTTCCGCTTGTTCCAGTTCCACATAAATAACAATTCCAAAAACCTGTTACAAAATAGCAGTTACTACAGTCTACAACTGTTACTACAGTCTCGGTAGGTACTTCTAATTCTAAGGTGTTAAGCCTATGCGAGAAAAAGAAAGAGCTTGTGACGAGTACTAGGGGATTTTATCGCGTTTTAATTACAACTATAATTTATTTTTATTATCCCGACGTTTCGGGTACTTTACAGCACCCATTGTCACGGGGGGACTGAGATGTTTGACGTCCCAATGTTATAGTTAGTCCTACACGTAGTACCTTCAGTTTTTTGAATATTAATTTTTGGTCTGATTTACGCAAAACGAACTTACTGTATCTTGAAGTCTTGCAGTGGTATGCTTGGGTTTGGGTTTAATTTTGTTAATTATTCACAAGCAGATGGCAGCACCCATCTCTATTGAAAATTGGAGACTTCCCGGAGCGTCGGTGCTTCACGTCAGCTATATGTTCCTTCACGCGGGTTTTTACAGATCAAATAAAGAGATCTATAAAAACCCGCGTGAAGGAAGATATAGCTGACGTGAAGCACCGACGCTCCGGGAAGTCTGCAGTCTGCGAACCTGTTCAAGATCGTCCCCACCATTACATTAGATATTATAAACCACAAACTCTCGCAAAAAAAACACCGATTTCTACCAAGGATGATACGCGAGGCTAGAGATAGAAGATGGATGGGTGCTGCCATCTGCTTGGGATCCTATAATTAACAAAATTAAACCCAAACCCAAGCACACCACTGCAAGACTTCATGGTACTATAAGCTCGTTTTACGTAAATCGGACCAAAAATTAATATTCAAAAAACTAAAGGTAGCCGGGCTAACAATGACGTTGGGACGTCAAACATCTCAGGCCCCCCCCCCCCGTGACCACGGGTGCTATAAAGCACCCGAAACGTCGGGGTAATAATAATAAATTATAGTTGTAATTAAGACGCGATAAAATCCGTAAATCGTTTTATTCAATGTGTAATGTTCGCGTAAATTTAAGAAATCATAAAAAATTTTATCTTATTCTAACAACAAGGTAACTGTCATATGTTTAAATAAAGAAAATCTTGTGACTGTGTTTTAGTGGATTTGTTATCTCTTGGAGCAGGAGCTGTTCTTACAGTTATGAAGAAAACTTTTAGAACGCGTCTAGTTCACAAATCAGCGATGCCGGATGGATTTTTATTCATAATTTAGGCATTTTGGTATCATAGATGAGAATGATAAGTTTGACTGAAGTTATAGGACGTACGGAAAACGCCTATCGCAACGTATTTTTTCTCGCTCCCGTCTTTACTGAGCGAGAGGTAAATAGATGTAACACCATTTTCAATCCGGTTCTTTAACTGCACTATTTTTTTTTTATAGAATGAGGGTGACAAACGAGCACGCAATCCACCTGACGGTAAGTGGATGCTGACATTCACATTTATCCTCGATTAAGAATCAAAACGCAGATACGTTGTCAATCCTGAGGACTAAGATGGAATGCCTCATTTCCAGTAAAAAGGGTCTCCGGTTCTCTACACTCACCATACGAAACACAGCAGTATGAGGCTTTTATTTTACGCTGGTATTCCGTGAGAGCGTGGTGCTTCCCCCAACCACCAAGGGCAACACCATTCCCATGGGTACCCCACTTTTTTTTTTTAGGTAAATATAAAATATATATAATTTTTTTTTGTTTTTTTGAGGAGAGAAGTTGGGGAGAAAAGTAACCGAGGAGGGGGGAGGGGGGGGGGGAACCGCCGTGCTGCCTCATCGGATTAAGAGAGTAAAGCTGTGCTGGCGCATACAATCGGCGATTATATTGACTGAGATTAGCCGTCGTAACTGAAGTTTGTTGTGTTTAGTAGGTCGGATTTTTTTTTTTTTTTGATAAAGACGTAGGATTGTAAACGCAGGAGTGGGAACTGACCAGGTATCCGGTGGCGGGAAAGAGCACGCGGCCGTCGATGTTGTGGCCGGCCACGAACGCGTCCTCGGGGCGCGCCAGGTCGCACTCGAGCACGCACTCGCCAGAGCGCGCGGCGCCGCCGAAGTGCGCCACGCTCCACTCCTGCGAGTGGTCCCACAGCACGTGCGCCGCCAGGCGTGGCGTGCCGCGCGCCACGGGCCAGCGCGGCGCCGGGTACAGCACGCCGAGCCGCGGCTGCGCTCCGCCGCAATACGCGCGGCCCAGCGCCGCCAATAGGTGGCGCAACGGGTCGCGCGCGTCGCGCCGCAGCAGCGCCACGTGCGCCGCGCCCGGCGCCGGCAGCGCGCGCCGCAGCACGGCCTGCAGCAGCGCGTGCGGCGCCAGCTCCAGCAGCAGCGCGCGCGCCGGCACCGACTGCAGCGCCTCCGCAAACCGCACCGGCGACAGCAGGTTGTTCACGTGGTACTCCACGGAGCTCAGCGCCGCTGAAACGTCACCACACCACGTCATGTCTTAGCCTCCTTACATGAATCTCCTTACAAAGTATCGCCCTGTCACTGTGTCGTGAACACGCCATGTCTTACGTGAATACATAACGTGTAGTGGCGGTGTAAGAATATGCAGCCTGCCAAACGTGGCCACTATGACAAAATCCCTCCATTAGGCAATCTATGGTAAAAGCCTATGTTCAGCAGTGAACCTTTATGACCTGTAATGAAATAGAATGGACTTAAACTGGCAGCACTTCCCCCTCCACCACGCGCGATACGTCATAGTTCTCAATTAACATAACCAATTCCTTGATTCCTTAGCTAACAAGTGGTGTAATTAAACTTTGAGTATAAATGATAAAAATATAGTTACAACATCAATTTTCTGAACTGCCTCCCACCATATAAGCAAATTTAATTTAATTTCAACACACACCCTTTCACATTGACACAATTGAAGGTAAACCAAGTGTAATGCTCACCGATGTCGGAATCCCACTGGTCCTTGGGCAACGAGGAGGATATCCAGCGCTGCGAGCGCGGCTTGGGGTGCGGGATGACGCGCTCGAGGCTGCGGCGCAGCAGCGGCGCGGCGGCCGCGATGTACTTGCTGTGGAACGCCACGCCCGAGCTGTTGACGCGCCGCGCGAAGATGCCCTCCGCGCTCAACTCCGCCACGAACTTCTCTACAGACTCCACCGGACCTGACACCTGCTCGACAGAAGAGTAACTGCTTTATTGCAATAAAAAATATCGAACTTATTGAAATACAACCATCATTGGCAATGTTTTTTAAAAATGAAAATTTTTGTTTTTAAATGATTTTAGTATTTGAACAAAGCAAGACATGGAACCTAAAAGGATATGTAGGAAAATATACTCGTGAATCACTTCGGTAATACAATATACTAAAAAAATATCACAATCATATTTTCTACAGCCAAGTACTATATATATATATATATATATATATATATATATATATATATATATATATATATATATATATATATATATATATATATATAGAATAAGGGTGAGAAGTACACAATACATTACATACATAAACACTCACGCCTGTCACCCAGAGCAGTAGGCAGAGACTACAGACTTCCATTTGGCACGATCCTGACACAGAGGTGAGAGAGAGGTACACAATACACTTGCTTAATGAACCTTAACACACGCAGCATTAAGCTGATATGAAGCGTCGCGGAACGTGTACGTGACGTGCACGTGTACGTTTCGTGACGCTGTCGGGCGCGTTGTGACAGGCGGGCACGACGTCGGGCGGGCAGCGTGCGGCAGCCGCCTCCCAGCCGAGCCCCACGGCCGCCATGGCGCCCGGCGGCAGCGCGGCGTCCACGATGCTGCGCCCGCGCCAGTACGTGTACGTGACGTGCACGTGTACGTACCGTGACGCTGTCGGGCGCGTTGTGACAGGCGGGCATGACGTCGGGAGGGCAGCGTGCGGCAGCCGCCTCCCAGCCGAGCCCCACGGCCGCCATGGCGCCCGGCGGCAGCGCAGCGTCCACGATGCTGCGCCTGCGCCAGTACGTGTACGTGACGTGCACGTGTACGTACCGTGACGCTGTCGGGCGCGTTGTGGCAGGCGGGCACGACGTCGGGCGGACAGCGCGCGGCAGCCGCGTCCCAGCCAAGCCCCACGGCCGCCATGGCGCCCGGCGGCAGCGCGGCGTCCACGATGCTGCGCCCGCGCCAGTACGCTGCCAGCACTGCCTGCTCCGCCGTAAGCGTCTCGTCCGCGTACGCGCACCCTGCACAGCACACAACACACAACTACTTTACATCAACTCACTTCATCTATAAACAAATAAAATTGAAGGGTCTATAATGTCAAAATAACAGCTTTTTACTAAATTCATATATATATATTAAAAAATATATATATATATATATATATATATATATATATATATATATATATATATATATATATATATAGTTATAGTTAATAACCAGTATAGATAATTCAACAAAAATGATTAAAAAATTGCATATTTCAAAAAACTGGTTATCGATTTGACTGTTTGTGATAATTTCCAAGCTTCACTGTAATTTAGACTAACTGACAACGTATTGTATTCTTTTCAATAAGCCTAATTATTTTTGTTTATTTCGGATGGTACTGACCGATCTCGCCGACGGAGTGTCCGACGATGCCGTCGGGGCGCACGCCCAGCTCGCGCAGCACATCCACGAGCGCCACCTGCACGGCGGCGATGGACACGAAGGAGGCGACTACGTCGTCAAAGGCCGAGTCGGGCGCGTCGGAGAGCAGGTGCACCAGGTCGAGCCCGTGCGGGCGCAGCGCTGCGGCCGAGCGCGCTACGCTGCGCGCGAACTGCGGTAGCCGCAGCAGCGCGCGCGCCATGCCCGCCCACTGCGACCCCATGCCCGAGAACACGAACCACACGGGCCGCGCCTCGCCACCGTCCGCCTCCTGCACGCACACGTCACCACGTCACACGTCTCCACCTACTGTCAACAGTACGTTCAACATATGGCGAGATACTATGTAGAGGCGCGTAGAATAATTCCGTACATAAACATTAACACCAGTTAGACTGCTCCATGGCGCAGGGCCTTAGAATTGAGTTCCGGGTCTAAATGTTTGTCCTTGTGCAATTTATGTTTGTAAACTGCCTCCACGATATAGGAGAAAATCCTAGTGCGGGGTAACGTTTTTTCTTTAAAAATAAAGATATAAATATAATATAGTGTCACCCAGCACTATATAAAGTTTAATCTTGAACTGGTAACTATGCAACTGGATACCATGGATATTTAATTACTGTGAATAGTGTCGATGTATCCGTTAGAAGAGTAACGAAGTGCGGGTACTGACCATGATCTCCTCGACGGGTTCCGGGTCGTCGGTGAGCAGGCGGAAGCCGCGGAAGGTATGTCCGGGGATGTTGTGCGCGTGCACGGCGTCCAACAGCGAGTGCAGATCGGCGTCGTGCGGATGCTGCGCGCCCAGCGCCAGCAAGCGACGCGCGGCCTCGTGCGTGCGGCCGGACGCCAGCAGCAGGCGCGGCAGGGGGGGCTCGCGGGGCGCGGGGGCGCAGGCCGCGCGGCGTGGTGCGACTCCAGGATCACGTGCGCGTTGGCGCCACCGAACCCGAACGAGTTCACCGCCACCAGCCCGCCCTCCCACGGCGTGTTCTCGGCGACCACCTGCACATAACAAATACATACTCTTTTTAATATAGATTATAAATAATACATTCACAATCGTTGTCCATTGCCACGATACGCAACATATGAAAAATTTCCTCTCAGCGAGGAGAGCGTACCAGTTGTTTTAATTAATTATTATACCACTAATGTTTTCTTTAATCAAATATTTATCCGTGGTTGACTACTATGAACTTGCACCACATTTCATAGCAGCGAGTATCTATTACGTTTAAAGATTGCGCATTGATTAATATTAGCGACAAGTATCGTTTGCGTCTGGCATCATTAATACTTTCCCGGATAATATTAAATACAAAACTACAAGCGAAACAACATACCTTAATTCTTCCGTCACTGAGTGCCGGAATGTCAGGATTCGGTGATGTGTAGTGTAGGTTAGCGGGGATGACGCCGTGCTCCATCGCCACCACCACTTTCGCGATGGAACACAGTCCAGACGCCGGCTCCGAGTGTCCCATATTGGACTTGACCGAACCCAAAAGCAGCGGTGTTTTGCGACCTTTGCAGAAGAAATCTGCGATAGCGTTCACTTCCTGCGGGTCTCCGACCTGAAACGGCAACGAATTGCCATTAAAAACGTTTGAAGGAGGGCGAACAGAAGATTACCTTGGTCGTTACAAAGTCCAAATATTGAGTCGCGTGTGCTCTGGTTTGGAGTGAATCCCACAAGCGGCAATAATCTCTATTATAGGTGAGTTGTTGACTTCCTGATCTGAATATGTTAATATTACTGAAACTGCATTCATATTATGGGTGTAGCACGAATGGGTCGGCTCGACCGGGGAAGGACAACGCTCTTAGACAATACCAGCTTAAAATAGTAGCTTAGTGCTGCTGTGTTTCGTATGGTAAGTGTAGAGAACCAGTGACCCTTTTTACTGGAGACGAGGGATTCCATCTTAATCTTCACAGGTGACAACGCGTCTGCATTTTGATCCGTAATCGAGGATAGATGTAGATGTCTATGAGCCAGAGCAACCACTTACCAGGTGGACTGTGTGCTCGTTTGTCACAATATCCTATATAAAAAAAACGATGGGCAGGGCAGAGCCCTCTTGTTGTAGCTTATCGTAAACAGCATTTGAATATATCTCGGGCTGTTGCTAAATATTAGCAGTATTTTTACATGTCATCGTTTAATTTAATAATGTTTTAAGATCGCATCTAAAACAAAGCGATCCATATACATAGAGTAAAGAGACAGATGTATTTTTAACAACTTGGGAAGGCGAATCTCGTGCGGCATGGCGGGGGAGGTGGAGGTGGAGGTGAAGATAGAAGTACGCTCGGGTACCTTGGTGCCGGTGCCGTGCGCCTCGACGTAGGCGACGTCCTGCGGGCGCAGGTGCGCCGCGGCGAATGTCTCCTCGGCGAGCTGACGCTGCACGGCGCCCGACGGGAACGTGATGCCCTGCTCCTTGCTGCCATCCGTGTTCATGCGCGCGCCGCGCACGGACGCGTACAGCCGGCGGGCGGCGCCGCGGCGCTGCAGCAGCACCACCACGGCCGCCTCCGAGCGCACGTAGCCGCGCCCGCTCGCGTCGAACGCGGCGCAGCGCCCCTCCGGCGACAGCATGCTCAGTCGGTGGAAGTTGAGCGAGTTGGCCGGCTTCAGGCACAGATTGGTACCGGCCACCACGGCCGCGTCACACTGGCCCGAACGCATCGCCGCCGTCGCCTGCGCCAGCGCGAACATCGAGCTCGAGCACGCCGTGTCTACCGCGTACGACGGCCCCTTCAAGTCGAACGTGTACGAGATGCGGTTGGGGAACATGGCCCGGCAGCACCCGGTCAGCGCGTAGCCGTTGATCTTGTCGGGGTCCGCGGTCCACATCTCCTCGGTCTCCGAGTTGGAGACGCCGACGAAGACGCCAGTGCGCGAGCCGCGCAACTCGGTCGGGTTGTAGCCGGCGTCCACGATGGCCTCGTGCGTGAGCTCCAGCAGCAGTCGCAGCTGTGGATCCATCAGATGCGCCTGTTTTGCGTGAACGCCGAAAAACGTCGCGTCAAAGTGTGCCAGGTCTTTAAGTTTTCCATTGCGTTCGGGCAGCCCGTGAAGACCTAAAACATTGCAAACAAGATATATATATATTAAAATTTCATCGAATAAGATTTTTCATAATATTAAAAATGATGACAAGTATTAACAAAGGAATAACATCAGATATTTCAACTGGCTTCCGGAAGTGAGATTGAGAATAATTTACTGCCTTGGATTTAATTAAACATTATTTTTAAAAAATCTGCTATTTAGACAAGAGGACCAAATATTAGTAGTAGTTTGTTGTATTAATGGTTTATTAAATCAATTTAAATTGGTTACGTCAGTGCTGTTCGTATCTACGGGCAGGCATACTGATGCTAGCTAACTTTTGTATATTTTTAGCACAGATACAATACAAGACTTGATGATTAGAATATAGTTTTAAACAAACTTATTCGCCGCAGCTAAATAAAAACAAGAAGAAAAAGGTTCAACTACCTGGCTTTAAAAATAATTGCTAATTGAAACGATATTTGAAATAAGATTAGAAGGGGAGATGGTCAAGCAAGTTGATGAGTTTGTTTATTTGGGATGTGTAATTAGCAGGGATGATAGATACGATAGGAATATAGAACAGCGAGTAAATGCAGGAAATAAGAGTAAATACACCCTGTTGAGAAAAGTCAGAATGTGTCAAAAAAAGCACATATGGCAATCTCAAATGCTGTGTTAGTCCATGCTTCGGTGATTTGGTCACGTAGAAGGAAAGAGTGCCAAAGCAAAGAAGACAATCATTTTTGGGCCCACTAGAAATATTGACGTCGTTTAATGGTATTTACACCAAAAAAAGACACCAAATTATAATAGTAAATGGCCTATAGATTTTTTCAAAATGTAAACGGAAACAAGAAATCTGAAAAAAAAAATTAGTTGTTTTGACATTCGTGTTCTGATCATTGGCTAAGGTAATGTAATATTTAAAAAATTATTGTCTTACGGCGCCTCTACACGTTGGCCAACACAGTGGCCAATAGCATTGGCTAACGTGTAGACGGGGTGTTTGGGCTTCATTGGTATGTATTGGAACGATGGCCTGCAAGTTGGCGCGAGATCCGTGTGGTGTCGGTTTTTTACAAAAGATCAAAGGATTGTTTTGCAGAGTTTGGTCGCCGCGTCCACACGTTGGCCGCGCGTTTATTTTGCTACAAGGTCCCAGAGTGATTACACGCATCTGATTTAAATTTTATATTCAAGCTTTGTAGGGTGGATGACCCAATTACCAGCCTTTTAGTGCCAATTTCCACTTTAAACATTCCTACTTCTTTAATTAGCGCGATTTAATTATTTTTAAACATTTGTTTTAATCGATAAGCTATTTATAAAAAAAATAATGAACATTTACTTACAATCAGATTATTACGAGAACAATTTTAAAATGAAAAAAAAATGAAGCACGTCGTTTATACGTGGTAGAACCATGCAGTTATATTAGAAGTATAGTTGTAGCACGAATGGGTCGGTTCGACCGGGGAAGGATCACGCTCTCACAGAATATCAATTTAAAAAAGTAGCTTAATGATGCTGTGTTTCGTATAGTGAGTGTAGAGAACCAGAGACACTTTTTAAAGGTAACGAGGCATTTCATCTTAGTCCTCACGGGTGACAACGCATCTGCATCTTGATTCGTAATCGAGGATAAATGTAGATGTCTATTGTCTACAGCAACCACTTACCATCAGGTGAACTGTGTGCTCGTTTGTCACCATATCCTATATAAAAAAGCGTCGATTTCTTATAATTTAATCGTGCAAGTTTTCGAATCATCATCATCATTACAGCTCTTCACAAGTCCACTACTGAACATCCTCCTCCACAGACTGCCGCATGGTCCTGAGCCACTTTGCTCGTCATGAGTTTTTCATTTATGTTCTAAGTTATAATTAGTACCTATTATTAAGTCAGTGTTAATTATATTTATTGCTATTGTTTTTGTCTTTCTCAAAAAATAATTAAATTAAAAATAAATTATAAGGTGTTTTTTATACATAACAAATATCTGATAGAAATGCAAGTACATATTTTGCTAAACTTTAAAATCAAAACCCAATTTTAAAACATAGATAATCGATTATAACTCCTTTAACTTTAAAATAGGTTAAGTTCTTATTAATGGTCTTTATTCCAGTTTATGATGCATGTAAAGAATAAATAAAGCTAATCGTATATTGTATATCTATTTACAACCCCATTAATATCCACTATTATTTTATAATTCTTTTATAAAAACGTTAACCCCACACTAGGATTTTCTCCCGTATCGCGCAGGCAGTTTACAAACATAAATTGCACAAGGACACACATCCAGACCCGAAACAATTATTCGTAGGACATACAAATACTTGTTCCGTGCGGGAACAAACCCGCGGCGCCCGGCGCAGCCACTCATTGCTGAGCCACTGCGCCACGGTGCTTATAAATTCGTCCGCACATTGGCCCGAACCGAAGTAAACTGAACGATCTTCCAACGTGTGGACGCCGTCACCAACTCTCGGCCAATATATTCGCCACTCCATTCGCCACTGTGTTGGCCAACGTGTAGAGGCGACATTAGAGATGTGCCGTGATAACTCGGAAAAAATCGACTCGAGTTGAAATTCAGGTAACTCGATTTTGAGCTCGAGTTACGCAATTCAAATTAGATGAACGAAGCTGTGTCAATTTGTCACAAATTATTTTTATACTTAATTTTTCTTCCATACAACACAATTATTATTACTACAATTAATAGGTAGTTATATATTATTTTTGGTATGCGTATCGACATCTTCATAAAATAATATCACTCTAACGTTATGACGTAAGTCTTAATGTTATTAATAATTTGACTATCCAAAGTATATATAATCAATTTATATTATATATAACATAAATTGATACAACATTATATACATATTACCTAATATCAATTTATTTATTACATAATATATCAATAAATTGCTCGAATTAGTAAGTCGATTTCATCACTAAATTGTAGATAAACACTGCATTGGCCGTAAGATAAAGATGCGATTTGAGTAGAGTTTTGTGACTCGAGCCACTCGGGTTAATTTACGAGTATGTATGTATGTCATTCTAGTTGTACACTAGTTTTTGAGTAAATCAACTATTTACAGAAAAGTATATCACTAGAGAGAGTAGCGATTACTTTAGTTAAACCATTTTTAAATATGTACCTTTATAAATAAGTGATATTTTGCAACATGAAATTAAAACTATAAATCAATATCATAAATAAAACTAAGTTCAGGTTTGTTTCCAACATGCCAGATGCAAGTTTGAATTTGGATGCAACTTGTGATGTCACCCGCAGCGACTTATTATATATATACAAGTAAATTAGTGAAGTAATATCTATATAGCACCCTCTGAATCTATACGAAGCGCCGAGTTAACTCGGTAAAATTTATTTTCTATTGATTATCGAGTTGGACAAATTCACTCGATTCACTCAAGTGAAATAAAACATAGTTGGAGTCGCATCAAAGGTAAGAACAAAATGAAGTTTTTATTTACAAGATACAAGCATTATTAAACTAATGTTTAAGAAAATATGGATATTATCAATTATCAGGAAGGTTAGCCAAATATTAATTGACACAAGTACGTATGTTTTCTCTTTTTAGTTTTGTGGTAAAACTCGCAAATAGAATATAAGAGTTTATTAATTTACATTTTACACCTATTCTAGGTTGTGAAAATCTATTATTAAGTTTGTATATTTTACCTAAAACAAAAACAAATAACAAATAGGTCTTAGAACCTTATTAGTTTGTTAAAAGTGACAAAGTATTAAGTTTATTTTATTAGTAAAATCTAAATTAAATAATAAATAGAATAAATGCACAAAAGAAGTTATTATAATGTTAAAAGAAAATTAGAATCTTTGGGTCGAGGGACTTAAAGAGGGTTTTGAAGAGCAATTCATATAACTGCATTTGTGTACAAATAGGTACCTTATGTATTCAGCAAGTTGCTTAATAATACTAAATGGCTTTTTTGTTAAGCCAGACACAGATCCTGGATTTATACCAGCCATAGTAGATAGGCAATATAAATGTTACATATATTTATGTGTAAAAAATGTAGTAATTATTTGTACTAGAAGCAAATATAAAGTTTAATAATAATAGTTTGCATAAAAAAGTGTAATGGTTGTATCTATTATGCTTAGACAGCTGTGTTGTTCACTGTGCAGAAAGGAATATTATTTTGTCATCTAGAATCAGATCTATACTTAATATAACAATAATATCTTTGTCTCCTATGTACATGAAACCGGTAAAAATAAAATGTGAGACAACTTTTAGATGGTTGAATATCATTGATGTTAATCAATAATTACTGCTTCTGTATTTGATCAGCTGGAGCTGATTAATGCTGTATAATTTATAATAATTTCTTTATTATTTAACATATGAAAAGGCAGATATAAGAAACAGCTCACAGAAATATGTAAATACAGTTTATTGACATTGAAACCATAGTCATCTATTATCTCTTATTATTAAAAATGTCCTTTTAATTCGTATATAATATAAAAAAAAAATAATATATTGATAAGAATTATTATTTAGTTAAGACACCTTTACAATTTTCATTAATTTCTTTTCAGGTGGATCGCTTAGAACAAATCTGTATGCCTTGCAGGCTGAAAGCTTGCAGAGACAAAAAGTGTATGGATATTGAAGACAACAGTCTTATATCATATCTCTTATAATTGAAAATTCCTTCTGATTGCTTACAACATCATAAATGTACATGTTACCATCAAGTTATTTTTAAAAAACCTTCAGAAATATATCTAACACTAAAATGTTTCTACCTATGTCCGTTGTGTTTTTTTTTTATAGAAGAGGGGGCAAACGAGCATGTGGCTCACCTGATGTTAAGTGACTACCGCCGCCCATGATCAACAGCAACACCAGGGGAATTGCAGGTGCGTTGCCGGCCCTTTAGAAAGGAGTAAGCTCTTTTCTTGAAGGTCCCCAGGTCGTATCGGTCCGGAAAAATCACCGGT